ATTTGAGGCACTGTGCTTTATCTCTTGGTCTTTATTTTATATATAAGGCAAAGAAGTCTCAGACAGGTTGAATAATGTACCAAGAGTCACACAACTTATAAGTAATGAGGCCTGGATTTTAGAGCAGGTTTGACACTAAAACTGGTGATCAACCCATTTTATAAAACTGTGCTGATAATTGGAATATTTGCTTATTTATTTATTTATTTACTCACCATTCATTAAATATTTGTTGAACACCTATTATGTGCCAGATATACTTCTAGGCACAAAACAGGTGGTCATCCTTGCTTCATGAAACTTATATTCCACAGCTGTGAGACTCAAGGTAAACAGATACAGAGTAAAAAATGAAGTATGTCTTGTGGTTAAAGATGCTATGGAGAAAAACAGAGGACAATAGGTAGTGTAAGGGGTAAATATAAATGGGACTGTGAGTTTACATAGGGTGGCCAGGGAAGGCCTTCCTGAGAAGGTGACAATTCAGAAAGACCTGAAGACAGCAACCCATGCAGATATCTGAGAAGAGAGCATTTTGGGCAAAGGGAACAACAAGTACAACGGCCCTGGGGTGGGAATGTGCCAGGATGGCTAAAGCTGAGGTGCTGAAGAGCAGTTGGAGATAAGATCAGAAAGGAAGTGCAGATCCTTCAGGGCTTTGGAGACCATTGTGATGGTCAGATAAATTGCTAGTTGGCCCCCGAGGATCTAGAAGAGGCTGATGACCATTCTAAAGTCCCCATGCCTGTGAGCACCTCTGTACTGTAAGTGGCCCTAGGGAATGGGGAGAGGGTGGTTCTCAGAATACATTTCCATGCCTGATCTGGCTTGGCCTAAAGTAGGGTTTCTCATCTTCACCACTACTGACATTTTGGCTGGATAACTGGTGTGTGTGTGTGTGTGGGTGGTGGGGGAAGGCTGTCCTGTGCTGTAAAACTGTAAGATGCTTTAGTAGCACAGCCTCGACCCACTAAAGATGGGTAATGCCAATACCACGTATGTCGTGACTCCAAAAGTGTCTCCAGCTATGGCCAGATGTTTCCCATTTAGAACCAAAGTCTAAAGACAGGCAGATTCCAGCTCCCTGGGCTGGAGGCTAATCTCCAGTCTCTACCTTCCCTCCTCCCCCCTCCACCAGCCCCTCCCCTGACTCACACTGGCTTCTCAGAAAAGGGAACCTGGGGCTATCTGCTAGAGACCCAGACAAACACTGATTCTAGGTCCATTAAACATTAACATATCTACACCTCAGGCAGGCAGAGAGTCCCTGCCTGTTCTAATATGACCCCGTGCCCCATTTGCTTAACCTAAAACCCATTGAAACCCATGTGAGAGCCACACAACAGGCCTAGGCTTGTGTTCGACGACTCGGTGCTGGTCACCCTTGTCTCCCTTTTCCCGGGAACCAGAAGATCTGCTGAGGATCCTGACGTCTCCATAGGATCATCCCTTCCCAAAGAGAACCTGGTCAGAGCGAGATCAAGGATTCCCCATCTACATCCTCAAAGTGGTTAATGTTCACTGGACACTTCTGTGCCAGAACTTTGCACAGTTTGTCTTACTATGTAGGATCTTCTTAAGGTGTAGAATCTATTAATATCCCATTCTGTAGATGAGGAAACTGAGTCTCAGAGATGTTTAGAAACACGTTGCCTGGGCCGCAGGTGCTGTTCGCCACTCTAACTGTCTGTGTTATGAGATAAGATAAGGAATCCATGTTCACTGAGTGCCCAGATATGCCAGACAATGAGCTCTAGCTGGAGCGTGGGATGTAAAGAAGGCTGTACCTGTAGGAGCTCTCAGCCTTCCAGCAAAGGGCCTCTGCCCATCCACGGCCCACTGGGCACTGTGCTACCACCTGAATCGTCTCCATGCCCAGACCAAATGGGCATTTCTAGTTGGCCAAGGCAGGCACAGGCACGCAGACCTGAGGGGTGCATGCATTCCCTTCACCTTTACAGTCTTGGAAGTCAGGCTTTCAGAGTCCAGAAGTAAAACTTATTTGCAAATTTTAAGAAGACAGAAACCAAAAAATAGGACAGTAAATCATAAAGAGTGGATTTGGCTCTACAGATTCCCTCTGCTCTGACAGAAACCACCCAGAGCAGGGGAGATGGAAACAGCTCCATCCCTACTCTCCAGGAAATAGGAACCTTTTTCATACCAGCTTACCTATAAGGTCAGTCAGAGCATGGATCTTGCAGTCAGTCAACCTTGGAGTGGAATCTCAGCCTAACCACTTCCTAGCTGTAGGATCTCTAAGATTCTGCCTCCTTGTCTGTAATATTCCTTGCCTGTAATGGCAGATGACTCAAAAGGTTGTTCTGAAGATGACCCAAGGAGATGCATGCACTGAGCAAAGCGTTTGGCATAGTAAGTGATCAATAAATGTAGCTGTTATCTTGTTATCACAGCTACAATAAATGTAGCTGTCATTGTCACCATCCTCCTCTTCCTCCTTCAGGTTGCTTTGGTCAAAATCTGAGTCCTCCTTGACTCCTCGTTATATTCTACATCCCACCCACTGATAAATCCAGTCACCACCTTCACTACCTCTCTAGACGCTTGTCACTTCTCACCCCTTCCATTGTCGCTATCCTGGGGCATGCCATTGCCACCTTTCACCTGGCTGTCACAGTGGCCTCTGACTGGTCTCCCTGAACCCACTTTTTTCCTTTGGTCTAATTTCCATATAACACTCAGTACAATCCAGTTGAAATGTAAGATCACATCTAACTTTGCCTCAAGCCCTCCAGTACCTTTCTGCAACATCTAATCAGCGGCCTCCAAGGCCTTGTGTCATCTGACCTGTACCCCAGCTTACTCTGCTCCAGGCCCAGTGACTTCTTGTCTTCCTCAAACGTGTTTCACATGCTCCCACCCCAGGGCCTTTGCACTTACAGTTTCTCTGCTTGGAAACCCTCTCCCTCCAGATATCCACATAGCTGCTCCCTCACCAACTTCAGTGTTTTTAAAAACTGTCCTTCTTAAGGAGGCCTCATTTAACCTCCATATTTAAACTCAATTCCTGTGACATTCCCAAATTTCAGCTCTGCTTCTTTCATCTCCATATCACTTAGCATCTAATACAGCACGTTTTTTGTCTATTCTCAGCTTTCTCCAATGACAGCGGGGATTTTTATGTTCCTTGTTAAAGCCTCCTTACCCAGAACTGTGCCTGGCATGTGGCAGATCCTAAAAAACATTTGTTGAATGGGTGGATGGATGGATGGATCCCCATTACTATTATTGCTCAGAGCCGTCCAGCTCACCCTCAGGGACCAGTGTTCCAGTGGCCACAGCCTTTTTCTCTACCTTTCATTTGCATTTTGAACACTCAGGAGCACTGGGCTGTGTGTGGAACTTCTAACACCACCATTTGGACAATTATTCTTTGTTTTTCTCGTGCCCTGAGCTTCTTCCCTTGGAAACTCAGATTTGGACCCCATGTCAGGCAGTAACCCTGAGCCAGGCATGGTTGAATCCACCGGGAAGCCCAAGGGACAGAGCAGCTGGCAAGAGGCCAGTGCCTGCCATGGTGATGGATGGAGGGCAGAGAAGGCAGTGATGGTGACAAAGCAGGCAGTGGAGAGGCATCGATCTACGAGGGAGGAGAAAAGACCACTTCCCTTCCATTGATTGGAAGTTTAATGAAAACAATCGTTCACTTTCGGGTTCCATCACAGGAACAGGTGTGCTGATCGGCACTGGGCGTGCGCCAGCTGGCCCAGAACTGGCTTTCTGGGTTCTGTTTCACAAAAGACCTCTCTGTTGGATTTGGAACTTGCCCATGGCAATGGAGGTGATGTGCACTTTTCTCCAAGAGCTCCAGATGCATGGGGGCGGGGAGCTGAGCAACAGAAAGTGTTCAGGCTTGAAAGGGCATCAGTGCCCTGCCCTGGCGTGGCCTGCCAGCCACAGGCATGAGAGCGGTGAGGGACCAGCCGTCTCAATGTTATCAGGAGCAAGGCAGGCAAACTCAAGTGCCTTTTAGTTCCCTTCCATTTAGACTGGGATGCCTCGCCTGCTGCCAGGGTCACATGCCAGCTCCCAGAGACTGGTTTCCGGAAAAGCACTCCCCACTCCCCACCCCTGCCCCACTGCCCTTCAGTGTCAGGGGCCAAGGAATCTTCATCTTCGAGACTGTGAGGTCTCTTTGACACCCCTTCCCCAAGAGGCAGGCTCAGAGTGGGGAGGGGAGCTGCATAACCTCTCCCTACCTCCCCCACTGCCCCCACCTGGCCTTCCTTCCCTGACAAACCCCTGCAATATTAAATGCAGCTACAGGATGACTTGGGGACTCAATTTGGCCTGTTAGCTCCAGGATTTTCCACCAGATGGCACTAATGTCTTCTCATGTGTGTGTGTTTCTCTCTAATTTCTGACCCTAGAAATTTTGCAGTAGTAGTAGTAATAATAATACCTTATGTCCTTTCCATGTGCTAAGCAGTGTGCTAAAGGTGTGACATGCTCAGCAGAGATTAGAGAGCCAGGCAGAGGGGATCTGGATCCCTGATATACCTCTTACATGGCCTTGGGTGAGTGGGTCATTTCTGTGCTCATCAGTTTCTGCATGTATAAAATTGAAAGAATAAACAATACCTACCCCATAGGGATACTGGGAGGATTAAATGGCTTAATCCATGTAAATTGTTTAGAAAACAAGAAGCACTATATAACTGATTGTTAAGTAATCCTATTTGACTGACAACTTCATGAGGTAGCCACTATTATTTCCCCCGTTTTACCTGTAAGGAAAGTGGGGCTCAGAGACACTGATGAGGTGCTCAAAGCTGTGCTGCTGTCAGCGTTCCTGAAGCCAAAGATCCCTGACGTGTGCCTCCCAAACTGGAGAAATATTTTTGTATTTCTGAAAATTTACCCATTAGCAGAAGAAGAGGAGAAAGGCCCAGGAGCTAAGGAGGTCAAAGCAAACCTCCTCAAAGGGCGCTGGGGAGGGGATGGCTCTTAGGGTTGCTGTCTTACACTGGCTCTTTCAGAAAACCCGTCCTCGCGGCTGTCCAGGGACCTGGCTGAGGAGCTGGGCAAAGCTGTGGAGATCATGGGCAAAGGCAAGAATGGGCTCGGCTTCGGCAAAGTAGACATCACTGTGGAGAAGGAACTTCAAGAGGAGTTTGACATTAAGAAGGCCCCAGAGTTGATGCTGTTTTTTGAAGGCAACAGGTCGGAACCCATCAGCTGCAAAGGTAACTGTGCCTGCATGTCAATCAAGGCAATGCTAACTATGCAAACACATAAACACTAGCATTCTGGTAGCTTAACAGAATTACGGGTTTATTTCTTGCTCACTTATGGTCCAGTTGGCAGGCAGTGGGTGGAGGTGAGGGGGTTCTGCTCCACACAGTCTTTCAAGGACCCAGGTTCCTTCCCTAGGGTGCCTGGGGCACAGGGACAGAGGACTGCCACGGGCAGTGTTCAGGGCCCAGGCCTAGAAGTGTCTAACGTCACTTCTGTTCTCATTCCACTGGCCCACATTCTGTTACATGGCCCCACCCAGCTGAAAGGCTGAGTCAGGACACAGGCCCTGCTCTGTGTCCAAAAATAAATTTTGGTGAACTCGTAGCTGCCTCTACCGCGGCTTGCCTCTCAGCTGGTAGGCCCCAGGAATGCCAGAGGTGGAATAGCAAGGAGCATGATTTATAAACTGCCAGAGAGAAAGTGAGTTCCTAACTCCCCCCCGCCCCCACTTCTTATCCAAACCTTCTGCTTTAGAAAGGTTGGACAGGGTCTCAGTACAAGGAAGCAGCCCATCAGCCTAAGCTGACCAGAGGGGAGACTGGGAGACGATGGGACAGGACGCGCTTGGGACAAGCTGACTACCAAACACGTTAGCTTCTATCATCATGCATTTCATTAACTCACTCATTCACTTATTCAGTGCTCTTTTATTGAGAACCTGCCAGGTGTCAAGCCCTATCTTGATGTCAAGGATGCCTGAGAAACTATGTGCCTCAGTGTGGCACATGACAGGTCCTAATTTTTAAAAATGTTAACTATATGAATACATAATATGCCTCATGGGTGGCTGTCTGGAATAAATCTGATGAACACAGATGTGCCCAGCACAGCCTGTACTACACTGGTAGAGTGCTCCCATTATATGTGCGTTGAATGCCTGAACCTCAGGAAACTGAGATTGCCTTTTGTGAGGCCTGGCATTTAGCAGGTTTGCAATAAGCCTGTTTGTGTTTTTGCAAGAACCAAAGGGGCCTAGTGAGTGCCAGGTGCAGGGGCTGCAGGATGCCCTGCAGTGCTCAGAAATGGACACGAGGGGGCATGAGACACACAGGCCAGGCTTGAGGAAGGTGCTGCAAAAGGGCCAACCTTGGGGCTGGTTACATAAAAGATCTGGCAGTACAGGGGCTCCCAGGGGGCTTGTCGGGGTGGGTGGGATGTGTGTAATGGTGGTGGGGGTGTGTGTGTCACAGAAGAGATGGGAGAGAGGGCAGGATCAGTGAGAGAGGGGACAGAGACTGCTGCTTCCTACAGACTGAGTGAAAGCCCTCAACAGTGGGGACACTGAGGTTCAAGCATTCAGTGCACATATAATGGGAGCATTCTACCAGCATAGTACAGGCTGTGCTGGGGACACATGGATCCCGAGAGAGGAGTCCTTTGTGACAGGCTGCTTTTTAGCGTGGGCTGCGAAGAAAGAAGCTCCAGGACACTCTATCCAAGAAGTCCCTATCTGCTCCTGGAGTGGCTTAGGTTCTGGGATGCCCTCACTTTCTGAAGGACGGGAGAGGTCTGACTCCACGGAGGGCAACACGGTGACAATGTGGCAACTAAGCCAGTGCCAGGGACCTCCTCTGCCAGGCAGGACGCTCCATCATCACTTCCTCCAGGAAGTCTCCCCTGACTGCCCAGGTCCAGGGTGCCTGCCCCTCTTCTGGGGTCCCACAGCACCTGTGCTTCCCCTTCAAGGCCCTCATTTCACAGACTTGTATCTGCTCCTCATTGTCTACGGAGAGCACAAGGGCAGGCTGTTCTCACTTGGATTCCTAGGTCCTCTGTCGAGACTGCCAGAACGGCAGACTCCCCCTGGCTTCCAGTCCTCACTAGTGCCCTCAAGGAGCAATCACTTCCTCTTGTGGAATTTTAATGTCCTCATCTGTAAAATGGGGACAGTGACTGTATCTACCTCCTAGGATTACTGGGAAGATGAAGTAAGTTTGCAAGACTCAAGGCCTCACACACATTCGAAGCATTTATGTGTTCCAGGCACTGTTCTAGTCCCTTCCCACAGTCACAACCCAATATGGGAGGTGCTTTTACAGATGGGGAAACTGAGGCACAGGGTGGCAGAATAACTTCCTCAAGGCTCCCCAGCTAATAAGCAGTGGGAAGCACAAATACTTTCTTGCAAAGGGCCAGATAAATATTTTAGGTCTTACAGGGCAGATAATCTCTGGGGCAACTATTTAACTGCTGATGCAGCCATATGTAAACAAATAGGAGTGGGTTGTGTTCCCATAAAACTTAATTTATAAAATCAACTGGCAGGCCAATTTGGCCCATCACTATAGCTGACCAACCCCCTGCTCTACATTGTACTGCACTCTAAGTAAATGTCAGATGTGGTTATTATTAGTAAATGATTAGTTTCCTGACCCTTATCCACTGCTTGGAACACTTAGGTGCTTAATGAATCATTTTCGCATTTGAATAAGATGGAATTACAAAGGCCCAGAGCAGGCAGGCTGGGGTAAGGAGCTAACCCATATTTCTACTGAACTTGCCCACCCCCTTATTCCTCAGTTACCCCCAGCCAGGGAAAGAGGCAGAGAGATGCAGGGAGGCAGCAAGGCCTGGAATTTAGGATACCACCAGCTATGAGAATTTAGCCAGCCTTGCAATGTCCCATTTCCTAAACAGGGTGAATAATGCCAGACTTGACCGGGCTTCCCTGAACTGACAGGGTGCAGTTCTTTGCTGGTTTTCTGCACTGTGACTTTTACAAAAACCTGCCCAGGAGGCAGGAGGGGTTTGGTTCCCGTTGGGTCAAAGCCATCGTCCTGTTTCTCCGCTAGTCTCCAAGGACTGATGGTGGGAGACCTGGCCTTGGCCATCTTGGTGGAGGTGGGGAGACTCAGGTTGCCTCCAGGGATTCAATTACTGATGCATTCACAGCTTGTACCTGGAAATATGCTGCCCAGCGCCAGCCCCAGTCAATCATTGACATAACGTTCACACCTCAGTTATCACCGTGTCCTCTGGCTCAGAGCCAAGTGCCAGAGGAGACACCTGCCCTATAGCGGCAGTGCCAGATCTGCCGGCACTCAGGAGCAAACTGTCTGTCAGGTTCAGAGCTCCCTCAGTCCCATGGGGTCCAGAGGCACAGTGGAGCTCATACATCCCAGAGAAGACCCAAGATTCAGTTCCCCCAAGCCAGGTTATCTAACAATTCATTCACGTCACTCATTCATCCTGTAATTATTTCTTTAGCACCTGGTCTGAGCCAGACATTGCTGGAGCTACTGGGAAAGTTAGCAAAAAGGCCGACTTTGAGGAAGAGACTCAATAAAGAACATACAGCAGGTCATAACATAGAGAAAGGGGGGGATCCTGCAGGGAACTGGATCAGGAGGAGACGCCCTCCAGGGCCTGGGGGAGTGGGTGGGCCCGGTGTGCTGGACAATGAGGGCTGCAGCTGCTGTGTGGACAGTGGGGGAGAGGCGCAAAGGGAGCTGAGAATGATGGTTCTGGAGTTCAAACGCCTTCGGGGAGTTTCTGTTCACTTTGATTTGGTGTTTTCAGAATTTTTAAAACAATTCCTTTCAGGGCACTTACAATTTTTGCATACAATGCTTATAAGAGACATAGTTTGTTTCCAGGATCTGGGCCTGTTTCTTCCTGAAAGTTGGCTTGGAACACTGAAAAAAGAAACCCAGCCTGGCATGGAATCAGGAGGAGGGGATGGTGGCAGTGGGGTGGATTGCCTTGGTCTGAGGGTGGCGTGGGGCCCAGACTATTCTGTCCCTTGAAGCCGCCAACCTTCCATGAACTTCCATAGGCCTGACTCACTGTGGTTGTTACAATGGCCTAAACTTAACTTACTAAAGCTGAGCACAGCATCCTTATGACCAGAAATTCTCCTGGGCATGTACCCAACAGAAGGGCGTACAGTGTGCCCTCAGAGACATGCATGAGAATTAATTCTTAATAGTTCCAAACTGGAAACAACCCAAATGCCCATCAACAGAGAATAGGTAAATACATTGTAGAATATTCACAAAATGCAATGTGACATAGCTGTGATAATAAATCTACAAGTACATGTAACAACGTGGATGAATCTCACCAACCCAACAGTGTCAGGCCTGAGAGCACACGCTGTGTGATTCTACATGCGTAGAGTTCAAGAGCAGACAGATGAGTGCATGCTGTTTAAAGTTAGAACAGTGGTTATGCCTAGGTGTGGGAGGGTCTGGAAGGGGACACCAGGGGGACTTCTGAGGGCCAGGCAATGTTCTAGTTCTTGATCTGGGGGATACTTACTCATGTGTTCATTTTGTGGAAATTCATCTAACTATACATTATAATTTGTGCACCTCTCTGTATATAAATATACTTCATTGAAAGTTTTAAAAATGGTCTAATGCTCTTAGGAAATGTCAGCAAAAACACTGAAAATAGAGTTTATTCTATTTGATTTACCACCTCAGAGTGCATTCAGCAGCCCCCACGTGGCAATCTGTCCTGCTGCAGGGCCTTTGCATGGGTTGTTCACTCTGCCTGGAAGCCTTTCCCTCCCCTGCTGCCTCCTGTTAACTCCTGCGTATCTTTCAGTTCTCAGCTCATAAGTTATTTCCTCTAGGAAGCCCTAGACTTCACAGTCTAGGTCATGTATCTTTGCCACAGGCTCATAGAACTTTTCGTTTGAATACTTTGGGTGTGATTCTATACTTGTTATTTGACAATTGTGCTACCCAACAGAATAAGAGCTGCAAAACAGTGCTAATGTGTTTGTTTCTGCTCACCAGGATGGCCCCAGTACCAAGCACAGCACTTGATAACATAATAGGCACTCAATACATATTTGTCAAATGAATGCAAGTAAAGGCGAGTAAAGGAATGAAGGCCTGGAGATACGGTCCAAAGCTACTCACGACAAACACTGCCTTGTCTCATAAACCCCCTTTAAATGTTCCATTCTATTCTAAGCAGACTTTGATAGAAAATAGCATTTTGCAGTACCTGCCATCATGTGAACTTGATGATCCTATCAAACACGTGTGCACCAGTGGCCTTGTGCACATTCTGGCACACCATTATGTCTCCCCAGCTATGGTATGTGTCCCAGTTTTAGAAGCTAAGATTTTTGCATACTTAGTGCTTCCCTTCCCATATGACAGCTGAGAAATGGAAGTCAGGATCTATGACCTTAGCAGACATTTGTGTCTCAGCCAAGGGACGGAAGGAACGAGGAGATTATGGAATTTTTTGAAGGTCACAGAATAGGTTGGTCTTTTTATTTACATTTTATTTATTTATACAAAAAACAAACAAACCCCAAAACATCTTCTTGTCACTTTGGAGGGTGGATAAGAAAAGAAGGCTGGGCATGTATCTCCCTAGATTTGATTCCCAGGTTCACCAGGAGGATGGCCACTGGCGAGCTGAACCTCAATTTCTTCATCTGCAAAATGGGGAGAGTAAGAATATATCTATTCCTGGGTAGGTAGGGCTGTTGTGGGGATATGACACATGCAGGATGCTCAGCACAGTGCCTTGTCCTGGTAAGTGCTGAAGCTTAGCTGCTGTTGCTAATGTTCATGCCTTGGGGCTTGGGTGGGGAGGGCTGGAAGAACTGATTTTGGCCTTTAGGGGATCCCTAGACAAGATGCTTCTACATTGTTAAATGTAAGGAAGACAGGCCTTGCTCCAGTTCAAGATGAAACTCCTGAGGGACCCATTTAACTGTCTCTTTCTCCAGGAGTGGTTGAATCTACTGCTTTGGTCGTTTGGTTGAGAAGACAAATTAGCCAGAAAGCATTTTTGTTCACTAACACCCAGCAGGTGGTGGAGTTAGTGAAATCCAGACCCTTGGTCATCATAGGCTTCTTCCAGGTACTGGGGTCAAGAGGTGGGAGGTGAGCTGTCCTGTGTCTGGGCATGGGGTGGGGTGAGGACAGGCCTTCCACTCCATTGTCCATTCTTCCTTTTCCAATGAGCTGGTTTGCTTGGGCCACCGCAGGTTTGAATGAAGAAAGGAAAAACGGAAGCTGAAGCTACCTACCTACCTACCTAGAAAGGTGGACAGGAATGCAGAGAGAGGAGAGGAGCGGAGGAGGATGACATGTTTATTGATAGTATAACTGATGTCTTGGGGGTCCATTTAGAAAATCACTGAATAGTAAATAATTCAGAAATTGTTTTTCCTTTAGGAGAATGATTTTCTTAGATGTCTGAACTCATTTCCTATAACTGAGGTGACTCCGTCCTTCCTCCCTGTGGAAGTCAGAACTTTGGCCTTATATTTACACAAGGGGGAGTCTGTACCTCTTGCTCTGCACCCCACTCTTTGACAGTGTTTTTGGCCCCAGTTTTCTTTCAAGCTAAAAAATGAAGGCTGAAACTAAGCCAGGTTCATATCTGGTACTACATGTGGTCAAATCTGCTGCCTCTTCTGAAAGCAGTTCAGAAATAGATGTTCAAAGTCTCAGTCCCTGCATTGGAGCAGACTTTACTCTAATACTTGGAAAAGGTCAACTTCATCCTCTCCACTAATTTCTGTGGATTTGCCTGCTTTGGCCTTAGTCATAGCCATAGAAGCAGACCGGGTATGAAATGTCCATGAAAGGGGATTTAGGTGACCCAGCAAAACACCAGAAGTTGGAAAGGTGAAGAGATGAATTGGTCACCATTTCCACTTTGCCCTTAAATGAGCCAGGCATTTATTTTCTACCAAAGCCTTACCAAACCTCCTTCCCCACAGGACTTGGAGGAAGAAGTGGCAGAGCTGTTCTATGATATGATCAAAGACTTCCCAGAGCTAACGTTTGGAGTGATATCAATTAGCGATGCTGCTGGGCGTTTCAACGTCATCCTTGACAGTGTTCTGGTGTTCAGAAAGGTAGGATTTTGATCCCATTGCTAGTGAGGGGTCTCTGGGTCAAAATTATGGGCTATGCATCATGTATGCATAGGCTTTAGGTACAAATTCCAGTTCTGTTGCTTGTGAGGTAAGTGGCACTGGACTAATTGGCTTTTGCACAGTTTCCCCCTGTTTCTCTGGCCTTTATAGCCATTTTCCACGGTCATGCCACCCTCCTTTCCTTAACCAGTAAACACTACTCATTAAGGCTCAATCCTCTGCCCTGTGTTTTCTTTTAGTCCATGTTCCCTCCCCACCCTCCATCAGCAACCGTGATCTATATATCCATGATTTACAAATCTCCATCTCCAACTGGACTTTTCTAATCTCCAAACCTTTATATCTATCACCAGGTATGTCAACATGGCCAAACCTAAAGTCATAATCTCCCCTCCAAATTCTCTTCCAGCTGTTTTCTCGCTCAATGAATGGTGCCACCGTCTCTCCCACCTACCATCTGAACAGAGTCAGAACATGCAGGCTTCATTTTAACACCTCCCTATCCTCCACCCCTCATAACCCATCCATCACCTCAATCCCACTGATTTTAAATCCACCATATTCCATGAATGTATCCATTTCTCTCCATCACTGCTATCCTAGATCAGGTGACCATTATCTCCTATAGCCTAATGCAACATCCACCCAACCAGAATATCTGCCACATTCTAGTTCTGGAAAAGGCTATCTTTCCAAAATTCAAATCTGATGGTCACTTTCCTTCTTCCTACTGAAAGGCCTGTTACCAGCTTCCTGTTTTCCTAGAATAAAGACTCCAGTCCCAAAGGAGTCCCACAAGGCCTTCCACAGTCTAGCCTGTTACCTACTTTCTTTCACTCCCTCTCTGGGACGTAGATCTGAACTGTCCAATGTGGCAGCCATTAGTCACATGTGACTGTTTACTTTTAAATTAGTTAATATTATAGTTAATCAAGCTAGCTACACGTGGATAGTGGCTACTGAATTGTAAAGCATAGATATATAGACCATTTCCATTATCACAAAATGTTTTATTTAGCAGTACTACTATAGACGCTGTGGTTTGGTTCTTGGAATGTGCCTTATTCCCTCCCCACACAAAGCCAAAGCCTGACAATAACCATGTTACTTATAGATGTGGCTCAGCAAGGTTAGGCTGCTTGCCCAAGGCCACACAGGAGTAGGTGGAGTGGTACTCAGATCTGCTTGACTCCATTACATTTTTACTTGGTCCACAGAAGTCATTCAAAGGCTTTAAGTTGAAGAATAAAATAACTTGACTTGAGTTTTTGAATTGGACAACATGGAGTCCAGAAAGAGACCCAAATACATATGGAAATATGTGCTACATGATAAAGATGGCATTTTAGATCAGTAGGGAAAATACATGCTATTCAGTGACTAGTGTTAAGAGAATTGGGTAGTTATTAAAAAAAAAAAAAAAAGCTAAGTCCATGTATCACTCCTTCCACCAAATTAAATTTCAGATTGATCCTGATTTTAAAAATATAATCATGAAACCATGGAAAGACTAGAATGCCATTGGAGAGTTTGCATTTTAAACTGGGAGTGAGAAATACCCTTTATGAAAGCATTCCAGAAACCACAGAAACTATGAAAACAAATACTGATAAATTTGGACCACATAAAAATGTAAAAATTCTACAGAATAAGCCCCATCAGAATATCAAAGGCCAAAGAGCAAACTTGGAAAATGTATTAAGGAGAGAGCTGGTCTGTTTTAAAGGTGCAGAACATAGGCACTGGAGTTAGACTGCCGAGGTTAGAATCTTGGCTCCATGTTTTACTAGCTCAACAACCTTGGGCAAGTTTGTTCACTTCTCTGTGCCTCAATTTTCTCAACTGCAAAATGAGAGAAATAATAGTAACATAGTTCAACGAGATGTTATGAGGATTAAATGAGTTAATACATGCAATGTATTTAGAACTGTGGCTGGTATAGAATGACCTCTCAGTAAGTCCAATTAGTATTATTAGACACTGTCATGTGCAGAAGAGTTTAGGGTTTCTCCAGAGGACAACAGAGGCTATGAAGTGTTTAAGCAAGAGAATGCTGTGAGCTGTGTTCTGACAACAACATTCTGGCTGAAGTGTGGGGGCTGGGCTGGAGGGAAGCAAGGGGAGAAATTGGAAGACCATTAGGAGACCTCCACAGGAGTCCAGGGAAGAGGTTTGGAATCAGAGAGTGAGACTGGTGGAGATGAAGAAAAGACAAAGTAGAGAGAAATCAGGAGATAGCTGCTTCTTTCTCCTTCCCCAGAAACTTTAATCCTGGCCTACAAAGAATTCTATCATTTCTTGGGTTAATCTAGTCCCTTCTAAGCAGCAGTCACCAAGCAGGATTAGACATGCAAAATATTAAGGAAAATGCCTGTGAAGGAAAACAGAGGGGGAGCTTGGGGAGACTCATCAGCCCATGTTGTCAGTCTGACCCTTTGGAGGGAAAGAAGTTTGACTGGAAGAGTCCTTGACTGCAGTGGAATTCTAAGAAAGTTCATCAAAGTTGCCTATTAGAGAAGTCTTCTGATAGTCATCCCCCAGAAATGGGCTTGCCTGAGTATCCCTGACACATCCGGTCATTGGTTGAGAGCAGCATGTGAGAGACACTGCTCAGCACAGACACAAACACATTGAATTTCAGAGCAAGACAGGTGGGGCTGTCAGTCTGTCTCACTCCCTGTCTTTGTGGACGGGAGACTTTCATGGCTGCCACAGACACATATTCCACCTAGAGGCTACTCTGACTTATGCAGTACCTAGATCACGGATCACACCTGTCACCACGGTGTCTTCCTTTGGTCCAGAGGGGAAACCGTGCTATTTATAGTTACTGAATACATCATGGAAGTGACTGCCCTCCAATGTTTCGCTTCTTTTGTCCAAGGGGAAAATTGTGAACCGCCAGGAGCTTATCAATGACAGTACCAACAAACGTTTTCTCAATCAAGTCATAAAGCAGCACCTCACAGATTTTGTTATTGAATATAACTATGAGGTCAGTGAGCAAAGGGTCTCGGGGAGAAGGGTGGCTGGGGCAGGGGCGTGCATGGAATGATCTGTTTCCCTGGTAATTTCAGAATAAGGATCTGATTTATGAGTCACCTATCCTGAATCACATGCTGCTCTTCGCCTCCAAAAGCTCCATGTCGTTTGGGATGATAATGCAGCATTACAGGCTGGCATTGAAGGAATTCACAAACAAGGTCTGTGGAAGATGGCATTGCTTTTTGGGGCTCCTGGATGGGGATCCAAGACCCGTAGACCCTGAAACCATTCACCTGCCCTGCCGATCATAAATTAAATCAGGAGGGATTTGCATACCAATTTCCTCATTTGTATATTGCTGCTATATATTATTTTACTATTTAATTTTAAACTGGCCTCTTTCCTTTCACCTGCCCTGTGTCTCCTCCTGTCTTGCCAAACCTATGTGCCTTCTCCCCTCATTTTTTGGGTAAGTCTACTATGGGAACATAATGGTTTGGCTGTTTTTCTGATGGCCACATTCTGATGGCTACTCCACTCAAGAGTGGGCGACTGCAGGGTGGTAGCACGTCGCCTGGAGGTCAGGGAGCAGGAAAAGCCTGAAGGTATGAAGCAGCACAAACTGTCTGCCAAGTAATTACTGAGATTCTGGCCTTTCCCATTGCACAGACCTGGGTTCAAATTCTCTTCCTCTTATCAGCAATTTTGTCTTACTTGAGTTTCTTCATGGTTGGTTTTCACAACGGTGTTTGTTATTATTATAGTTATCATTATCATCTCTACAAACAAATCTGTTTTCCTAAGCACTATGCCTACATTTATGTAGTCACCACCACTTGGAGTGTGGGGACTATTTACTTCAATTTTTCTCTTTATTTTTATGAGAAGAATATGTAGTGGTGGATTTGATTTTCTTTCAAGGAAAATTACTCTTGAAATTAAAATGAAACAATTAAAAACTTTGAACCCCAAAATGAAAACAAACCCCTTTCCCTCCCAAAAAGCCACCAGGGCATGAATTTTATTTATTTAATGGTCATGCTGTATCCTGCTGTGTTATTCTCCAGGAAGTTTGCTCCAATTATAGAAATACTTCTTGTAAATATGTTCTTGGCTTATCCAATTTTAAACTTTAAGTTTTTAAAAATATAATTGCATTGATCACAACCAGATTGTTTTCCCTTTATTTCTCTTATGTTGTACTAGTCAGTCCTTAGCCATATTTCTTCCAAAGTCTTTCTTTGAAATTTTTAACCCTTTAATCTGTAAGTGGAATTTTCTTCGGCATATATTGTGAGATGAGGTTCTAAATTGCCTTTACCCCAATTAGCAAGCTTCCTGAATGCCATTTATTGATTGTGATCCATTTTAGAGCTAAAGATAAACAGCTGAATAAATATTCTTCTAACAGGTCATACCCCATATCTTATTATGCTCACCTCTAACCAGTATTTGTTGGAAGTATACAAGGATGGTTTCAGTATGTCTGCTTTGTTTTTCACAGTCCCTCAAGCCCCTAGAAGACTGTCTGGCACATAATAGGGCCCCTAATATTTTGAGAGATGAATGACCTGAGAGGTCCTGATACCAGGTGTCTGCTGTGGCCTCTCACTCATCACCCTGCCTCCACCCTTGCTTTCTCTCTGCAACGAGTGGGATCTTTTAAAAATTATCATGTCATTATCTGGCTTACTGTCCTCATTCAGAAAGTACAAACCACTTTACTCTAGACACACTGGGTTTTCCTTTCTGTTCTAGAACACTCTGAGTTTCCCTCCCCAGCCCACCCCCACAGGACTTTGAACTGACTCAGCATTCCCTGACTTGTTACTCATCGCCCAGTCCAGCTGAAATGCCACCTCCTCGGATACCCCTCCTGACCTTCCTACCTAAACTGAGCCCCCACCTCTCCCTATCTGCAGTCACTCTCTGTCACAGTGCCGTTTTTCTCACCTAATGGGCACTCATCGCTCCCTGAATTTATTAATTTGTTTACTCATTTGTTGTCTGTCTCCTCACTAGAACATAAGCTCCGTGAGCGCGTGGATCTTGTCTGCCTTGGGTGGCACTGTATCTCCAGGGCTTTGCAAAATTCCTAGCAGGCACTCAGCAGATATTTGTAGAAGGAACAAGTGAATGAAGTCATGAAATTTCTTGATAGAAGAATAATTTAGAATGACAATAAGAGTTGACATATATTGGGCATTTTTCACTTCCCAGTCACTAAGCTAAGCCTTCACACACATTGTCCTGTTTCATTCCCTGAGCAGCCTTAGTAGGGCTGCTATGATAACCACCTTACAGCTCAGAAAACTGAGGGACAGAGGGAGAGGTACCACCTTACTCGCAGAACCGGGATGAAATCTCAGCACCTCCTGCCTGTGGTTGTGTGGACGGTGCCCTGAACGAGGAGCGTGGAACCGGCAGCCAGCCGGGACCTGTCTGTTCTCTGGGGTTGGGGCTGCAACTTCCTGCGGAAAAGGCCTCTGTGCCTTCTTTCAGTCCTGCTTTTTGCATTCCGTGAGCACCCTCCACAGCTTCCCGCAGGCCTGTCTCCCTTAGTATGGGATTCCTCATCCAATTCCAATTCCTTACTCTTGTCACAGCCATTCATCCAGGCCCAGTTTTCATTTGATTTGGCAGATCCTTTTCATCCTTGTGGATGCCGATGAACCCAGAAACGGACGGCTCTTTGAATACTTCCGGATCACAGAGATCGACATCCCATCAGTCCAAATCCTAAACTTAAGCTCTGACACGAGGTACAAAATGCCTTCCGAGGAGATAACCTATGAAAACCTCAAGAAATTTGGCCGCAGCTACTTGACTGGAAGTGCCAAGGTAAGTTTGTTCTTGGACAATGTTTTTCCAGAATCTCAAAATTGTTCCTTTCATAGTTCTGCTGGCCTTGGTCATCTGAATGGGGAGGCAGAATAAAGGTCTACCTCATGGCTCAATTTGGGGACACACCCCCTTTCCCTACCTCAAATCAATCCAATTTATGACCTGTCCTAACCCTGTAATTCCACCATTCATTCATTATTCTTGAAGGCATTTCCTTGTAGCAGTTTTCAGTTGAAATGCAGACCCTCCTAGGGCTGACATCCTCTGAAAGAACCAAGAATGCTCCTTTCTGACTTTAATGTGAAAGACTTACTGGCCCAAGAGTAGATGATCATTTTTGGGGGGATTAAGCAATCAGGATTTAACCTCAATGGCTTTAGGGACTTTTAGTTTGGGTGTGAGGATGGTTAGAAGGGAGTCTATTCTTCTGAAAGGTATGAGAGGCTGCAAAAAAACACAACCTAACATCACCTGCTGTTTATTTAGCACCCACTGTGTCCTCAACCACCCTGCTGAGCTAGTTGACCATGTCTTTTATTTTCCAAACAGGGACACTTTTGAGAGTAATGGGGGCCTTCTTTCAAAGCACTCTGCAAGAACAGGGATCAGTTGGCATTCTCCAGGCAAACGGCAATGTATGGTCGATCACCTTACCTCTGAGGGTTCCCATTTCCTTCTGTCCATTCTCCCCCAGACACTGCTCCCCCTGCAGCCTCTGCAAGTGGACGCTCTTCTTTTCTCTTATGCACAACTTTATCACAGGCCAGGTGGTGAGGCTGGTGTCTTCCGTGCCTCTTCCAAACCATTTCTCCTCCTTTGACCTTTAAACACCCTAGATTCTTTGGATCCCATGCCTTTAAGGGGACTTTAGACCATGTGCCCTCGCCCGCCATTGCTATCTTCTGACCACACCCCTTTCTGTCTCTGAGGACTTAACCTTCTCACCTCAGACTTGCATTCCACCCTCCTCTGCCATCGTTTCCAGAGATGTCAGTATCCAACACCCTCTCTTCTCTGTAACTGGGGTGTCCATGCCAGCTCAGCCACCTGCTCTTACAACCACACTCTAGAAGTGGCAGCCCGTCTTAAAGCCTGATTTTCAAGCTTCCCATCCTCTGAGCTCCTTTTTCTAGTACCCACTTTGCTTTTGCCCACATTACAATTCCATACCCTTTCTATGGCCTCCAACCTCCTGATCCCGTTTCACAATCTCTTCAGTGCCCTCCTTCATGAACTCGGACTCCATGGTTTATCGCTCTGCTGATACTTCTCTTAACTCCTCTATCCCTTCTGCCTCCTGCCTCCTCTACACCCTGTGGTATTTATCAAGCAAAATCACAACCCCGGTTGAATCCACTTGACTTCCCTACTGCGTCCCGTCTGATGCTAGAGAAAAAGAACGTCACTGTGAGTCAGGCTGCCTTCGTGGAATCACAAAGCAAACCTCCAGTGGATTCTTAGAAATGTCCTGACTTCTTTATATAAATTTCTCTAAGTGTGTTCATTCTCTTGATCTCTGAGTCTCTTTCTCCTCATAACCCATCCCAACTTTCAGTCTCAACTGAGTACTTGACTCATGTATCACTAAGAAAATAGAAGGCTTCAGACAGGAGCCCCTCATTTTCCACCACCACATCTACAAACCTACTCTGCCCATCCTCTTTCCCTTCTTTCTAGTTATACATCAGGAGTTATACATGTGTCTGACTCCCACTCAAGGGACAACACATCCTCCTGTGCTCTCAGAATAAAGATGAACATCCTTCCTATGACTTAGGAGATGTCACGTGCATGCACTGGCCTGTTCCTAAGTCTCCGTATTCTTCACCATTTCCCATCTCCACATCCAGGCCTGACCCCTTTATGCTCCCTTGGAAAGAGTCCTCAAGTCCTTTCCAGAGACTAGGATGGGAATGAGGGAAGTATTTTGGGAGTTGTTGAGCTGGGGAAAGACCAGACAGCAAAGACGTCTAGACATACTAAGGATTTGAACCCTGCAGGCAATGGGAACCCAGATTTACATGGTGAAAATAGAACCCTGCTGCTCTCTGCTGGAGAGTAAAAGGGTGGAGGAGAGGATTAGGTGGTGATGGACAGAGACCACTGTTACACAGACGGAGATGAGGGATGACGGCTCTGTGAAGTGGGGTAGTAACAGGGCAGGTGGAGAGAAGGGTGTGGATTCAAAAGATATTCAGGAAGCAATGGTTCTAGAAAAAATATGTTCTGAGATTCCCACCACTTCCTTCCAAGAGAAGAATGAACCAGGGTCATTCTTTCATACATTCACTCACACAGCATTTACTGAGCTCTGACAATGTGCTAGTCAGTGGATACTCAATGATGATGGAAGAAAAATCCATCATGACATTCTGTCTACTGTGGTAGAGACACATCAGTCAAGTGACAGGGAATCAAATATAAATGATAGACTTGAATAAGTGATACAAGGAAAAGGCAGCAAATATTCTAAGAAGTGTGGTTGCAGGATCTGACCTAGTCTAGGGGGCAGTCAGGAACGTCCTTCCTCAAGATCATAGTGACAGATAAATCTTAGCTAACTGAAGAAGGGAGAGGAGAGAAGGCATGAGTAGGGGAGGTCCTCCTGGCAGAGGAACAGCAGAGGCAGAAGCCTGAGGTGCAGGGAGCCGATCTCTTAGGTAAACAGGAGACCAGGATGGCTGAAGAAAGCAAGAGAAGAATGGCAATGAGTTCGGAGAGGCTGGCAGGAATCCAAGCGTAATGAAGTTCTACAGGTCATGTAAATTATCTTGCTCCCCAGAGTAATGGGGGACAACTACATTTTTCTTTTTAGTGGGAACAAACTAAAGGTATAAAAGACATGAGCCCCACTCTCAACCAAGAATCTCTAGAATCACATATTTGAAATGCTAGAATCCATCCCACTGTGGAACCCTCAGCCCTCTGATCCCAATGTGCCTGGGACAATGGAGGCTTGGTATCAAGCTCATGATCTGCCTCAGCATTCCACACTTTTCCCAAGGCTCTTGTAAGAACAAGAGAAAACTTCCCATTGTTTCCACCCAAGGCCAGAAGGCCCATCCAGCATCCCTTCCTGGAGACTGTTAGACCTCTCAAATTTGCTTCCTAGAAACATCAATCCAGTGAAGAGATTCCAAAATATTGGGACCAGGGCCCAGTTAAGCAGCTCGTTGGGAAGAACTTCAATGTTGTCGTCTTTGACAAGGATAGGGACGTATTTGTGATGTTCTGTAAGTATCTCTGAAGAGACCACAGAGAAAATGGTTTGGTTACTTTTCAAGCATTGTTATTCCCCAATTCTTGGGCACCCAAATCTATCAAAGCACCATTCCAAGGATGGTCTTCAGACATCCAAAGAGTGTGAATCAAAATGCTCTCAGCTACAATGCACCTCTCCCCAGAAATCAGGCCTGTGGCTTTTAGAACAATAGTCATGCTGACGGATAACACCGGTTGAATGCTGTGGTATAGCAGGCTTTGGGCTAAGCCGTTCTAGGTGTAATCTCATTCAGTCCTTACAACACACTTTTGGAAGTCTCATCGCTCCCACTTTACAGATGAGTGAAATAGAGTCTCAGGGAGGTGGAGACACTTTTCCAAAATCAGGCAGCTTGTAAGCTCTGTCACTGGGAATGGAACCTAGACATTCCAATTCCTGTGCCTACACTGGTAATTGCTGTACAGAAGAGCAGTTCCAGTTTTATGGAACTTATCTAATGGCCCAGACTTAACTTACCTGAGTTGGTGTGGCCAAACTGGGTGCCTACTCATGCATGTAAATGATTGAACACAGCATCTGGCATATTGTAAGTACCTGATAAATGCCAGCTATTGTTAGTATTATTAACCTGTCATTTTGGTTTTCCCCAGTGCTCACTTAAGGACAAATGCCCTTTTCCCACTGTCCTTGATTGGCATGTGAGCCAGAGTCAGGGCGCTTCTCTCCCACCCTGAGACACAGAAGGGTGACAATGAAGTCCCTTCAGACACCTCACCTGTTTCACAGGAGGAATTCCCATTTATTGAGCACTTAGAATGAGCTAGGCATGAGGTGGTTGTTTACACACCTGCTCTCCTTTCCTCCTCCATACAAACTTCTTAAGAAGGTCCAGTGGATTTCCCCCTGATACAGATCAGGGAACCCAGCCTCAGAGAGGTTAATTCCCTTGCCCCAGGTCACTCAGTAGATCAACTGCAGAGCAAAAAGTTCAAATCAAGCTCTGATGCCATCACTTCCTGGAGAATGAAAACAAGCACTGGTTTGCATCAGGCAGGCCTCTTAAAATCTCACTGACAGGGACTCTCAGTCACAGGGCAAGGTGTTTAAGGCCTGCATGGCTCAATAACCATGACCTGCTGCCTTTAAATGAGAGGCTGGGCAGCCTTTTTGTACTTACTTGACCCCAGAGTTACGAGATTGCCCATTTGGTTCTGGTAAAGGCAAAGGCAGCCTCATTTTCCCAGAAGCAGGGATATCAGATTGGCCCCCTGGGATACAGCCATTATGCCCCCTCCTGCTTCAGCCCAGGGCTCATGGGGCTGCAGGGTTGCTGCGGGGGGTGCTGCAGGGAGGGCAGATGGCCATGGAGGCACTTGGTTTGTACATGGCGTTGTGATCATCCAAATGCAGCGGGTAGGGGCCTTTGAGGCCACTCCTCCCGTGGAGCCAGAAATTTTAATGGAACTATAAGCAAGCAAAGCCCGACTTACCTTCCGTGTTGGAGCTGGTCCCTGATTTCTTTCCAGAGGACTAGGTGCCAGGCCAGACTCAAAGTTCAAGGAACTGTCTGTAAGGAAGACTTATGTCCCCTTGCCAGGGGTAGTTGAACTTGTCACAACCTGTTTACCTCTCTGGCATTTTCTCCACGAACTGAAAGGCAGTGAGGTAGAAAGAATGGTCACAAGTCTTCAAATCCTACTTCCTCTGCTTAATTAACTAGGTGACCTTGGGTTCTGGGCTTAACCTCTTTGGAAAACTCTTGTGCTATCTCATACACACACACACACACACACACACACACACACACACACACACACACACGCATGCATGCACTTTCTGGCAGAACATGAGGCATCATCTAATGTAAATATTTTTTTTGGCTTTCTTCTTCAACTGGAGAGGAAAGCTATGTTAAAGAAAAACATAGAAAAAAATGTCCCAGTGTGCTAAAATGTTAGTGACTGGGTGGAAGGGGACTAGGTTTTTTCTTATTCTCATAATGATAGGGTGCTAGGACTAAAATGTACAATAACCTAACATGCTATCAAAAGAGAGAGAGAGAGAGTGCACTTTGCAAAGCAGCAGAACCAACAGAACACAGTGGCGGGGCCGATGCAGTCACGCTGGTTTTCACAGTCTTTGCCGGCATGAGCCTGAGCAGCGGCCCTTCTCTTCCAGACGCACCCTGGTCTCAGAAGTGCAGGGCGCTCTTCCCAGTGTTGGAGGAGCTGGGCAGAAAGTATCGAAACCACTCCACAGTCACCGTCGCCAAGATCGACATCACAGCCAACGACATTCAGCTGATGTACCTGGACCGGTACCCCTTCTTCAGGCTCTTCCCCACTGACTCTCAACAAGTGAGGAGCTCACATAACTGGAAATGTGTTATTATCACGGACTTGGTTTCTCTCTATCTCTAGCTCTGCCTTCTACAGAATCAGCTTCATCCTCAGTGCTACCAACCCCTATTATCCTCATGTTCAATTTAAAGAGTGTCTTCCATTAGCTTCTGTAAAAGTCCCAAGACTCACTATGATTGGGCCCAGCTTAGGGCAGATGCTCTTCCCTAGCCAGTCAATGTGGCCAAGTGGATGTGGGTGTTCTATTTGGTTGGGCCCGGGTTACATGATTCCCTGTACTACTGGGGCTGAGCTCTGCCGAGGCCACAAAATAAGGTGGTAGGGGTCTCCACGTGAAAATTGGGGTGGGGTGCTACCAGAAGAAGGAAGAATGCAGGACAGAAAACCCATCAATGTCTTTTACACCTTGATATTATAATCATCAAACATCACGAGTGTTCATGGAACACACTCTCCATGTGGCCTTGGCATGTGGGGAAGGGGATCAAAGAATCATAAGCCAAGCATATGACTGGGGGAAGTCAGATGCAACTGGAATTGGAGGGCACAGATTCTGGAGGGCAGAGATGGCTGGAAGGCTTCCTGAGGACGTGGGATTTTGAAGAGTGTTGGGGATTTAAATCAGTTAGAAGTGGGGGTGTTATAGGTATAGTTATAATTGTGCCTGTAGTTATGTGTAGGAAGTAGAATATGAACAAAGCAGTGGGTGGAAGGGTGGCCACAGTTCTGTGAAGTAGATGCCATCCTCCTGGTGTAGAAGACTCACATAGGGGAGTTGTGGAAAATGAGACTGGACTGAGAGGGTGGAGCTGTCACAGACCCTCAGTTATCTGAGAAGGGTTTAGACAACCAGTAGGCAGTAAGCAGCTACTTCACTTTCTTAAAGACTGAAAGAGGAAAGGGAGCTAGTGATGGCTGAGTAATGAACATGTACCAGATGTTCTGTAATATAGTAACTATTCTTCATGCTATAATTATAATGATAGCAAACACATATAGTGCTCATTATGAGTTAAGCACTGTTTTAAGGGCTTTTCATATAGCAACTCATTAAATCATTGTAACACCACTGTGAGAGAGGTACTATTATTATCTTTCTATTGAAGATAAGGAAACTGAGTCACAGAGAGGTTAAGTAACCAGATGATAGTGCTAAGTGATGAAGCCAGGCTTTAGGCCTTCACAGTGTGGCTGCATGGTGCTCTGAACCCTACAGTACAGCCCTGTGATGGAGGGATTTTTATTATCTATGGTAATAGAGGCTCAGAGAGGCTGAGGAACCTGCTCACTTTAGCGAAGTTGTTAGGAATTAGACCCCGGATTTACCTAGGTAGGAATCCCCAGATATTTTGCAGGAAAAGGCTACCATTTTGAGCCGGTTCCATTTTTCTTCCTAGGCTGTATTGTACAAGGGAGATCATACCCTGAAGGGCTTTTCTGACTTCCTAGAAAGTCAAATCAGGACCAGGACTGAGGATGAAGATGAGGTAAGGTGAAACAGCCATTCCCTCAATTATTCTGTCACACACAGAATTATCAGAACTCAGTGGAGTGGGAAGGAGTGTGCCAGGAGTTCCAAAACCTTGTGCTCTCTGGAGGGAGCTGAGGATGGATGGCCCATCCATGCATTTGGGAAGACTTTATTTCAAGGGCACTTACTACAAGGGAGCAGAAATGGAAGACTCCAGAAACACTGAGAAGGGCAGAGGCTCTGAGATCTCATACAGCTCCAAGGCTGCTTCCCTGGGTCCCCTGTTCCGGAGTTGGTAACCAAATGTCCTGATGAAATCCTGCCCTCTGGCATATTTTCCCGTGGGTGGGATGGCAGCCCTCATTCTCTCCTACTCCCATGCATGCCTCAGTGAGGCCATCTGCTGGAAGGTGCCATCAGATTAGGGGGCAATCTGATGGATCCTCATGTTTCCATTGCGAATGTCAGAAACACCACTCTTTGGCTTAAACAACAATGGGAATTTATCCCATATAACTGGTAAAACATGAGGCACGATGGATCCAGAAACTCCAACTCATTTTCTGTCTCCCTATTTCTGTTTTCCTCTATGTTGGCTTCATTCCCAAGCAATCACTTCCCCATGGAAGGTCAAAGATTGCCCTAGAGCTCTGAACCTAGTATTCTCCCAATTTAGAAAGCACACGCTTACTTCTTAGTGGCCCTAGCAGATGTCCTGGACAGGGATCCCATTCGGTAGGCCTGGGTCACATGCCCAGCTCTGGAGCTAGTTGTGGGGCAGCCACTCCAGTGGAGGAAGGGCTGTTCCCCAAAGGGTCTTCTCCAGCAGGGCCAAGTGGGGACTTCCCCACCCAGGCCAAACTGACCTCTGCATTTGTGAGGATCCTCCAGGGGCCTCTCTCTGGAAAATTCCAGAAAAAGAGGGCTTGGCAATGACAGTCATGATTATCATGTATTCCCGGCTGTGCTATTTCTTTGTCCTTCTTATTTTCCTCCCTCTCCCCTCCCTTCCCCCATCTTTTCTTGAATAGCTCTTGTCTGATGAGCAAAGTGAAGTTACAGAAGAGGAAATATTAGCTGATGTACCTTTTATAAAGAAAGAAGTACCTGGACAGAAGGTGCCTGAGCCGGAGGTGATGGAGCTGGGAGAGCCAGCCGGGCAGAAGGGGACAGCTGGGGAGGGGACGGAGGCAGCTAAGCCGGAGGGCCCCCCACAAGAGAGGAAGCCAACGAGGAAAGAACTGTAGCTTCTCCAGAGCCAAGAAGGAAGGTGCCCACTTTTCAGGACCTGGCATCCTTTTCTGAGCGGATCTATTCCAGTAAAATTAAATACCCTGGTGTGGGTGGGTGGAGGCTGGGTAATAAAAGCCTCTGAATGTCTTTGGCCCTGTTTCACTCATTGCCTCTTTTTTACTCTCTGGTGAGGCCTGGAAAGAGCAGTTTGGCCTAGAATTCAGACAAGACTCCAAGGGAAGCCATAATCCCAGCATGTGGTGAGTGTGTGCATGCTGGGCATTTGCCAAGTTCTCATGACATCACTGGGAGCCAAGTTCCATTATCTCCATGTTACAGATGAGGAAACGGAGGCAAAGGGAGTGTCAGGAATCAGTCACAATCACACGGCTGGAAGGCCTCTGAGATGATCCCAGGCAACCTCACTCCAGTGATTCTGCATTTAACCTCTATGCACACACCACCTGCACCAGGGTGGGGTCCCCAGAGTTTGGTCAAAACTTTCAAGTGGGGTGGATTGCTTTGTTCATGCCACACAGTGAGAAAGAGGCCCAGCCCCACACCTGTCCCCACCTTTGGTGTCTCAGTAAGTGGCCCACTTTTTTCAGCAATACATTAGGATAATTGTTTAGACTCATTTTTTACTACCATGAGTAACTCACCCATCTGTGATCCCACCCACTTCTCTCTATATGCCTCCACCCACTTCTGCCCACTGACCCTGGGAGGGCCATAGTATTTGACGGACCAAGGTCCCCACAAAGCATCTGGGCCTCTCCACTTTCCACCTGTCATGTAAGGCAAAAGCTGTTTGTGCTTTTCCAGGCCTCCCTCCCATCCCCGTGCTCGCAAACCTGGCCTGTCCACATCCAAAGCTGGGAACAGCCTGCGGCCCTCCTGGAACTCCCAAGCCAGACAGCCCCAACAGGGGCAGGTGTTAGTATTCAGGACACGGTGCGAGGCTCACCTGCCCTAGACTTAAGGTCATGTGGCACCTGGTTGGAGGAGGGGTCCAAGGGGGCTGCTAGGACCAAATCACATGGAACAGAATCAAGGCCATGAGCCAGAGAATACATGTGCTCCCTGCAGGCCCCCGAGGTGTCACTGGGGCCTGGAAGTTACAGGTAACTAGTAAGGCAGAACAGCTGGGTAAGGCAGCTGATGGCCCCCTGCTGGAGGACCTTCCCCTTTGGCTCATTTTCTGCCCCCTTGAAACCCACACCACTCTCATAAAAATCCCCTGTGTTCTGCCCAATCAATTTTTCAAAACCCTCTGCCCCTTAGCTTTACTCCCCTCAAAAAGGACCTAAAACCACTTACTCCCCCCAAGGCTCTCTCATGGCTGAGCACAGAATGTTTTTCACCCCAAAGAGTGCAATATATCAGAGGAGTAAATCTGAGGGAGAGTTGGGCTTCTGTGTGGACTTAGCAGCAGCTAGCTGTGTGATGTTGGGGAAGTGACCCTCCCTCTCTGGAGTACAACATGTGCTACCACATTTCACTGTATGAAACAGCAGATGTAAAAGCACTCAGCACAGCTGAGAAGCACTCAGAAAGTGACAGCTGTCAAGTGTCCTATCTGTCAAAGTTGAGAGAAGAGTTTCCAAGAAGATGGGAGCTGCTGAGAAATGGGGGAAGGTTGGTTCAAAAGCAAGTATTTTTGAGCACCTCTCTGGAAGTAAAAGAGAAAATACTGAATTTGGCAACATGGTTGACTTCAGTAATCTTGGAGAGCAACATTGGTGAAGCTGGCAGGTCAGCAAGCACATGGTGTGAAGTGGAGCAGCATGTTCAGGTACATCTCTTGAGAAGTTTGGCTCTGAAGAGGTGGCAAACAGGAGGGTGGCTGGGAGGTAGAGGCAGTTGAGAATACTCCAACAGCTATGACAAAAGGTACAGGAGGAAAGGATAAGTGGAGGTGAGCAAGAAAGGTTATCAGAGCATAGTCAGAAGGACACAGCCTCCAGCCGAACAGGAGAGGTTATGTGGACGAGTCCAGGGGCAGGCAGGCAGACAAGATGAGGGACGCACTGCTTCCTGGCTCCAGTATGCCATGCCATCATGAAGTGTGCGGGGCTGGGGAGAGGCTAAGGAGTTTGAAGATCGAGTGGGGAACCAGCCAACTAGAGAGAGAATGTAGGATGACCCAGTTGTATTGAATAAAGCTGATGCTGACTGATTGATGGCAAGGCCAACAGACTGGGAAATGAGTGCCACTGAAAAATCAGTTTCTTATGCACACAGATCCCAGAGGAGGGGCACACCGCGCCTCGGGGTGGAGGGCATACATGGACGCACCAGGGTAGGTCTGGAGGCAGAACAAGACCGGGATGTGGGCAAGAGCGCTTCTCGTGGTTTCCGTGGAAAGGAACAGGTGAGGCAAGGTAAGCAGGCTTAGGGTCGACGACTTTGAATGACTTCAGGAAGCTCTGGGACAGGAATTGTCCCTCGAGGCCCAGTATCTGGCCCTGGAGTGAGTAGGGCAGGTGAATAGTGGCCCTGGAATGAGAGCCCCACAAAGCAGGGCTTGGGGTGAGCTCTGCTCGGGTGGTTTGCCCCCCAGAGTCATGTTCTCAGGCCAGCTGTTTGCTGTCTCTAGGAAGCAGTCCTGATCCAGGGCCAGCAAAGCCCCAAGATAGAAAAGCATCAAATACAGAAAGTAGAAAAATGTGGTTATTAGACTTATGAATAGCCTCCAGCCCAAAGTCCCGGTTTTCCTGCCCCGACCCTTTGCCCAGACAAGTCCGGGAGCCACTGGAGCCTCCATCTTTAAGCCATTTAAAGCACACAGGCTTGGCTTTAGTCAGGGCCTCATGTGCACCACCTGAAAAGATATTCATCATCCGGGATGAGGAAAAGAGTATTAAAAACTTTCATTTTCTTCTTAAGCAGTAGGAAAAAAAAAAGACATATTCTTTTAGGGAAGGAAAAAAAAAAAGCAAAGGACACAGCCAGTTCAGAAGAATAAATAATAAACAAATGAAGATAATAATGTCCTTTTCATCAAAGAATTGCAAAATTAAACAACAACGGGATATTGTTTATCTTTTTGAAGAAGATGAGAGAAAGCAATGCTCAGGGTTAGGTCTATGGTGGGATTATAAACAAATTTTTAAAAAATCTCTCTGGGATACTATTTAGGGAGGTATCAAAATTCTTAAATTTTGCCACCTGACCTTGAAATTTCCCGCCTAAAAAATTATCTTGAGGAAATGATTGCACCAGGTTCCAGTGGTTACCTCACCATTAAACAGGACAGAATGAGAAAGGTCCTAAAAATGTGAAGGCAGTAGGTCACTGTTATATTTCCTGCTCAGCCCACGTCCACACACATCTGATTTTTCTCAGTGTGATTGACTCTTAGACTGGATTGGCATCTACATGGGACTGGGTCAGGAGACATGGGGTTGAACCCAGGCTCTGTCATTTTCTACCCTGTGGCTGTACATCAGTGAAGCAGCTCTGGCAGTAACTTCCATGGACAGAATCATTCCTGCATGTCTTCACCTGCATCACCTCCTTTAACCACCATAACAATGCCGGGAGATGGGTTTTCACATTTTATCGATGAAGAAAATGACCTCGGGAAGATTAAGAAATGAGTCTACAGGGACACACTAAATGGCTGATCAGGATTCAGATCAACTAATTCCAAAGTCAGTCTATTCACTCATGAAGTTACCCATCTTCCAACGGACCTCCCTTCACAGGAACGCAGATTTCTTGTTTCATAAAGTGAGTCTGGCCTGGTGATGTCTGACTTTCAACCATTCTTAGCTCCTCTCCTGCTCATGTCTGGATCCCAGCAGAGCTGGCCAAGCTGTGAGGATAGTGTGGGCTTGAGAAAGGTGCCCTTGCCACAGGGAACCCAAGCAACCACAGATACAGGCCCCAGTGGGGGCAATGAACACCCCTTTTCTCCTAGTGCAGCCTGTCTTCAGATACTGGCCTCTGTCTGGCTCCCTAGGTCCACCTTGTCCTTTCCAGTGACCAAGAAAAAGCCCAGTACCTTGGCACTGATTTCCCAGTTAATGTCTAACTAAGGAATCTCTTTATGCCCAAAGGTACAAAACAGAGGTCTTGTATTTGCAAACACAAGTGTGACCCCAAATGTCAATTACTTGGGGTCTCTATTAAGAAAAAGAATAACAACCTCACAGCCCAGAAAGGAAAAACACTGTGCCAAGAGGGGAAAATGTCCCACCCCCCAAAAAACAATCTCAAAAAACAGAACCAGAGAATCATGGGAAGAGAGACTGGCAGTCAGGGGTGGGTATATATATACAGGGGGGTACACACTTGTAAACAGATTAATTCTACCTTTCTGGCTTCAGGTAAGGCTCTCTGCAGTGCTCTCCTCTCCTAGCTACTTCTCCCCCATCTAGTCTGCTAATTCCCCTTCTGTTTTAGGGCATTTGGAGAGGGAATTAAGAGATTGGACACTTGAGTCAGACCTGGATTGAGTCATTACTCTGGAGACTGTTTTTGGTAGGTCAATCTCCCTCTCTCTGAGCCTGTCTTTTCCTAAAACCAATGATTATTGTGTTTTCACTAATTCAACAAATACTAGTTAGGTGCCTACTCTACCAGGCACTGGGCATATAGCTGTGAACAAGAGCTCCAGAAACTTGCTTTGCTTCTCATTTTAGTTAATCTCCATGACAATGTGCAGTTTGGTTATTAACCACTATACTGTTTTCCAAACTACAGGTCACAACCCATTCGTGGATCATGAAATCATTTGTGGATTATATCCAGTTTTCTTTTTTAATTTAACAGAGTGTCAGTGAGCAAGGCACACAGTAATGATAAGGATTTTATAGAAGTTTTATTTCTCATGTGGATGTGCTTACATGTGAAAGCATGCACACCCACAAGCCACCGCACTGGGTCAGGGCATAAAATATTCTCCTTAGAGCAGATCATGGTCGCAGAGGCTTGAAAAACACTCCTCCACAAGTTCTTTGGTCCCAGGGACTTTAAAGGAGCCTGGCACACCACAGGCACTCAATCTGTGAAAGGAATGATCCCTGTTTTATAGATGAGGAAACTGAGTCTTAGCAAATTGAAATAACTTGCCAATGTCACACTGTTAGTGACTGGAAAAACAGGGACTCATTGGGGTAACAGTAGCACCCATCTAGGATTATTACACCCAGCTGGGCAGAATAATAAGCGACCACTCTGGAAACATTAAAGTGCATTGTGAAGGTAAATCACCTCTCCAGTTACTTATCTCAAGCTATTTCTTTACCATAAGTGAGTTGCATGAAGTCAGGGTCTTATCTGTCACATTAACTGATTTCCTTGGTGAGGTGCTCCCTGTTTGGCACATAGTAGCTACTCAATAAATGATGTAAAGTGAATAAATGAATCTGGGCAAGTTGAAAGTTTCCTAGCAGGGCATCAGGAGTTGGCGACTTCCAATAAGACGGTGAGTCCAGAACACTATCCCATCTTGCTGCTTCCTGCTTCAAATGAGAGACTCAGTTCTTTCACTGTGCTGAGACTAGGGGTCCGAGACTGGATGTGGGTGGGAGAAAGGGTGGGGCCGTTGGGGGGAAACCCCACCAAAGCAAGGGCCAAAGCACCACACACTGTTTGTAGGTAAATGGCATCTCCTGGAGTTATGCAGTGCACAACCAGAGCACCCCTCCCAACTGTGGGGAGGGGAGCTGGAGCGAGCGTTTATCACTTCCATCTCTGTTCACAGGAGCTCAGACATCAGGTACAGGGAGGAAATCCCAAGGGGCCACCTGTCCTTGCCTTTGGGCAGGTCTTCCCCAGACCAGAAGTAGCTGTGAAGAGCAGAAAGGATGAGGTGGCTGTTCTCTCCCACCTCTTTGCGGATAGAAGTGGTGGTGACTTCTTGGGTTGTCATAGCTGTAGCCACTGACACCTCAGAAGCAAGTAAGCTGTGTGTGTGTGTGTGTGTGTGTGTCTGTGGGGTGTGTGTGTATGCATGCACATGCATGCACAATGCTGCCCTTAGTAGGGGAGGCCTTGATAACCTCTCCTACCATGCTCAGGATTTGCATGATTTATTCCAAATCCATTTCTTATACTATAATGTACACAGGGCCCTCTTGGGCGTTTTGCTAAAATGCAGGTTCTTTCGGTAAGGCTGGAGTGGAGCCTGAGACTGTATTTCTGAGCAGCTCACAAGTGCTGCTGATGGTGTGGCGCTTGGGTCAGACACTGAGCGGCAAGAGTCTAGAACACACTGAGGCCCCTGGTGCTTTACTGAAAGGCCAGGAACATACTCGACCACACTGGAGATCTGAGCATACCCAGGTGGCTTCCAGACACCCCACCCCCCTTTCACAGCTGGGAGGTCATTCCCTGGGGCTGTATGCTGCCCTCAGAGGCTTTCAGGAGAAGGGTGCTGGGCACCTACAGAACTGAAGTACTTTGTTGTGCAGAAAACACCACAGCGGGGTTGTGGTTAAGGACACACACTCTGTAGTCTGGCCACCTGGGCCTGTGTCTTGGCTCTGCTGCCTACCAATAGAACAAGGAGCTTAGCCCTTCTGAGCCTCAGTTTCCTCATCTTTCAGAGAAGGATAAAGACAAAAGTGGGCAGGATTCAATGAGATAAGGAATGAAAAGTGTGCATTCCAGCATCTGGCACATAAAGTTAAGTGCTTAATAAGGGATAGCTCCTTATCGTCACTGCGAGTGCTGTCATGGAGGAAGACACAGAGTGGGACTGCCACTGCCAGGTAGGGTCTTCAGAGAGGAGGCAGGGAAACAGATCTGAGAAAATGGCCTAAAATGTGCAAAGGTGGGCATAGGGTGACAGGGTCACATAAACCCAACCAAAGTGTCAAGAACTTCCTTATTCTTCTGCATGTGGAAATGTGGGTATTTTACAAGAAGGCACAGGTGGAAGTCGAGGCTTAACACAGAATGAAGGGTGGAAGTATAGACATCAGGGAAGTTTTGTTTGTTTGGGGGGCGGTTGGCTAGGGATAAGTCTTAAAGAACATGGATACCCTAAGGGATGCGGGAGGAGTCTCTGGCTGGCCATAGGCCCAGCTGCGCCCTGTGAGGCTGAGCCTTTCTGTCTGCAGGAAGCTGCTCTGAATGCCACAGCAACGCCACCTGCAAGGAGGATGGGGCTGCCACCACATGCTCCTGTCAGGAGGGTTTCACTGGCAATGGCCTAGTGTGCATGGACCTAGATGAATGTGCCATTTTGGGGGCACACAACTGCCCAGGGGACAGCAGCTGCGTGAATACGCTGGGCTCCTACACGTGCGTCTGCCCTGAGGGCTTCCACCTTAACCCCGGGCTCAGCTGCACTGACGTGGATGAGTGCGTGGAACCAGGACTCAGCCACTGTCACACCCTGGCCACCTGTGTCAACAGCCAGGGCAACTACTCATGTGTGTGTCCCGAGGGCTACTGGGGGGACGGGTGGCACTGCGAGTGTTCCCCAGGCTCTTGCAGGCCGGGGCTGGACTGCGTGCCCGAGGGTGACACGCTCGTGTGTGCAGATCCGTGCTGGACGCACAGCATCCTGGATGAGTACTGGCGCAGTGCCAGCTATGGGGCGGGCTATGCCTGTGACTCCAAACTGAGTGGCTGGTACCGCTTCGTGGGGCCAGGCGGCGTGCGCCTGGCTGATACTTGTGTGCCTGCCCTGCGCTGCAATACGGCCGCGCCCATGTGGCTCAATGGCACGCACCCATCCAGTGATGAGGCCATCGTGACCCGCACAGCCTGTGCGCACTGGAGCGGCCACTGCTGCCTGTGGGACGTGCCCATACAAGTGAAGGCCTGTGACGGCGGCTACTACGTCTACAACCTGACAGCGCCCCCCGTGTGCCATCTGGCATACTGCACAGGTGAGCAGTGTCTCCCCTCAACCCCCTCCAGGCCTGGATGGGCACCATGGGGGCTGGGGGCATCCTTGTTGACTATCTGTGTCTGTGATTGTGCAGACCCCAGCTCAGTGTTGGGGACGTGTGAGGAGTGCAGCATAGATGAGGACTGCAAATCGGATAGCGGCAGATGGCGCTGCCAGTGCAAACAGGACTTCAACGTCACTGGTGAGGCCAGTGGGGAGGAGGCGAGGAGCTGGGAAATGTCAGTGACTGGGCAAGGGACACATTCCTGCGTGTGACTTGGGGCATGTGGGGATGACCCAGGGGATGCATTATCATCCAATCTGAGTGAAAAGTCCATTGAGGAATACCCATTAAAACGAGCAAGAAGCTCTCTGAACTCCCAGAGTCTCCCTTTAGGTGATCTCAAAGCTCCCAAAGCTTGGGGGCCCTCTCACTGCAGCCTTCTTTCTGAGGCTCCCACACCACAGTGGATGCACAGGTGGCTGCCCCCTGTTGGCCAAAGGCTACCTGAGCCATAAACCTGCAGCACAAGAACACAGGAGGTCATCAGTCTGTGGTTTCTTGGGCCAGGCCCTCCACTGACCAGCTGAGAACCCTGAGCAGGTCTGGCCACCTCTAAGCCTCAATTTCCCCATAGGTACAATGAATGAAGCAGGGTAGTATTTCCCAAACATCAGCCATGATTTTAGTCTTATCCAAGTACCAGTTTTACAGTTTTGCTTTATCTAAGCACTACTTACACTGTGATTTTTAGTATTAACTTGTTTTTCTTCAGTTTGATTGAATCCTTCTACTTAAGCTTAGGGCACTGATGGTCACTACTGTGTCTGTCTGTGGCAAGTAATATCTCAGATAGAAGGTAACACTAAGAATGAATACAATGAAAGAACGTATTATCTCAGAAGGTAAGACTAAGAATGAATACAATGAAAGAACGTAATGAAATTCCAGTAGCTAGGTCATACTTCAGTTTTGAAAAGTTAAAAAAAATTCAACTGTATGTTGTTGTGTGCCCGAAATACTTGGCCTGAGGTCTGTGTTCCATTGTTTTAAAAAAGAAATTAGGAAAGATACCACATAAACAGCTAGTGAGGACTGCCTCTTTGATGCAGAAAGAATGGAAAGAAATTGCAGTTAACATATTAACTTGCTTTTCTGTTTTGTTTAGTTTTACTGGGATTCAATGTTATCTGATGTGGAACCACTGAACAACCCCAAAATGATACTGTTTTTTGTATACAGCCCACCCGTGGGGTAACACGGGGCTGGTGGTTGGTTGTTTGGAGTCCAATCTTGGGTCTCTGTCACTCTGCTGTGGAGACACAGTGAGATCACCCAAGGCTCCACTGAGAGCCAGCCTGGCTGGCGGGGCCTGGGCCCTGGGGCTGTGCTGGTCCCGAGCGGTGGTCACGGGCCTCCAATTCTGCCTTCTCTGTCCATTCCAGATCTTTCCCTACTGGAGCACAGGCTGGAGTGTGGGGCTAGTGACATCAAGGTGTCCCTGGGCAAGTGCCAGCTGAGCAGCCTGGGCTTTGAGAAGGTCTTCATGTACCTGCGTGACAGCCAGTGCTCAGGCTTCATGGAGAGGGGCGACCGGGACTGGATGTCTGTGGTGACCCCAGCCAGGGATGGCCCCTGTGGGACGGTGCTGACAGTATGTCCCGGCCAGTGTGGGGCAGGGTCAGAGCACTGCCTGGTTCAAGCCCGGCTCTACCACTTCCCACTTGTATGAGCTTGGGTGTGTTTTTTAACCTGGCTGTGCCTCAGTTTTCCCAACTATAAAGTGGAGTAATAACAGTACCTACTTCATAGGGTTGTTCACAGGGTTAAATGAGCTAACATGTGACATGATAAGACAGTGGCTGGCCCATAGTGACAGCTTAGTAGATATAAGCTTCAGATAAGAGGGCCATCCATGGTGATGGATCCCCATCCTACAGATGGAAAAAGTAGGGCCCAGACAGAGGGCAGTGGTGGTCCTAAGCCACCAAGTATCAGTGCGGGGTTCAGGAGGAGGCCTGTTTGTCTCTGGTGGTCCTGGCCCTGGAAGACAGGGTCTGCTTCATTGGTGCTGGGAAAACCAAGACCTTGCCTACAAAGGCCTCAAAAGGGACTCAGGGGCTAATGTGTGTGACTCCTCTTCCCGTCTACTTCGTTCCCCCCAACCCCCCCAGAAAGAAAACGAAAGAAGCCAAAGAAAGGAAGAAATAAATTAATTAATCGTCCTTTGCTAAGCATGGTGTTTGGAATTCTGCCATGAGTGGGGAGTCTACACATGGTTTTTAGTCTTTTTAGTGTTTGAGAGAGAAGCACGGCCTGGAGAAAAGAGCCCAGGCTTACAGATCCTGTGTCCAGTGGATGTAACTCGGGGCTGCTCAGTTTCTATGAGCCTCCATCTCCTTGCCCTAAGGCAGGAGGTGGCAGCCCTGAACTTAGGGTCATTGAAAAGGCAAACAACACAACGGTGCAGGAGGAGCGTTAGCTCAGGGCCTGGCACGTGATACATGCTCATAAATGGACACTGTTGGAACTATGGATTATGGAAACTGGGAGGGCAACTCACGGGTGGGTGGCGGGAGGAAACTTCTTTGGTTTTGAGTCCTACTCAGATTCTCATGCCTCTTTCTCCCACCCTCCCTACACAGAGGAATGAAACTCATGCCACGTACAGCAACACCCTCTACCTGGCAGATGCGATCATCATCCGTGACCTCAACATCAAAATCAACTTTGCCTGCTCCTACCCACTGGACATGAAAGTCAGTCTGAAGACCTCCTTGCAGCCAATGGTCAGGTGCGGCCAGAGAGGGTCCCCAGGGCCCCAGGCCAGCTCCACCCACCAAGGAGCTGGGTGGACGACTGGAACAGTGTAGCCCAGTGGAGGAGCTCAGCCGGGAAGTATGGAGCCCAGAGTAAAATCCAGCCTCTGTCACCTAATAACCAGATGGCTTTGGGAAGTGACAGCCCCACTCTGGGTGTCAGCTTTCTCATCTGTGAAATGGGTTCAGCAATACTTGGATGGCCCTTCTAGAAGCACAACAGCGCTCTGCAGATGTGAACCAAATTTTAGGGTCTCTGGCTTATCAGAGGGCAAGGTCATTGGACTGGAGGGAAGGCGGGAAGGCTCTCAGTGCAGATCTGCTGTGGGGTTTTGGGCTGTCATATCCCATATTTTGACCTCAGTGTCTTTCCTTCACTATAAATAGGAGTTTGATTGAAGAGAGGTTTACCAATTATGCTCCTTGGAGTTTGAGGGTCTTTAAGGAGGTGCCTTGGAGATTCCTGTGGGGTGAACCAGGAAGTTTTACCCATACTGGGAACCACATGAAGGTTTATTATTTTAAAAAAATTAAAAAGAGCCTGTTGCTGAATAAAATGGAAAGTCTTTGAATAGGATGAATCACAGATCAATGATGCTGATGTTGGAAAAAATTATAGTTGCAATCATTCCAAGCATTTATCAAAAGCAGACATTAGGCATTGTGCTAAGTACTCTACTTGGAACGTCTCATTGAAATCGTAGAGCACCCTAGGAAGGGTGGGTAATTATTGTTTAATTCCCATTATACAGATGAGGCAATGGAGACTCAGAGAAGGCTGAGTAACTCGTTTGCAAAATCTAGTAAGTGGCGGAGCTGGGATTCAAACCTAGGCCATCAGGCTCAGAGCCCCAACTCTGCCACGACCTTCACACTGAAGCTCGCCCATGGTTACATGTTCTCTGGGCCAACCAGACTCGGGGAGGGCAATAGGCACTGATGAAGGTGCGTGGCTGATCTGGGGGAAGAAGGCTGCTCACTGCCTGCCTTTAGCTGGAGCATCCCATGGCCCAGCAGTGCCCTGGAGCAGTGTGGTCATGCCCCAGGCCTGGTAGACTCTGGGGAACAACACATCTGTGTGCAAATGACACAGTCCAACTCTGAGTCCAAACCAATAACCCAAGTGTCGTCTGTAAAAAGGACTTCCACATTACTGAGTATTTCTCAGGCCCCTTATTTCCTGTGGCATCCATCTGTCCTTTATTTGATTACTCTGTGACATCTACATCATCGTGGCTATTTTCAATACAGTTAAACACAACCCATCTTAAAAGCCCCGGTCTTCTGCTGAGCTGGAGTCAGAACTCTGGTGTAGGCCTGGAGCATTCATGGCCCATCCTCTGAACTGTCCCAGGTTGAGACCAAAGACGGAACCTAGGTGATTCCCTTGAGAATCTGTTTGCTGTACTTCTTGAAGGCAAGGGCCACCAAGTGACGGGGTGGACACATTACAGAAAATGTGGTCTGTGGATCAGCAGCCGCACATCACCTGGGAGCTTGTTAGAAATGCGCAACCTTGAGCCCCACCCCAAACCCACAGAAGCAGAACCTGCATTCCAACAAGATCCCAAGGTGACCCCATGGGGGCTCACTGCAGTTTGCAAAGCAACAGTCCGTGAATTCCAGTCCTACTGCTGACAAAAATGCAGATAACTGCCCAGGAATGCCACCAGCAAGGGTGGCCCATCTGTCACTGTTTCCAGCTCTGGGTCTCATACCAGCCTTTCCCTCACTGCAGTGTCCTGAACATCAGTGTGGGCGGGACAGGCATGTTCACTGTGCGGATGGCGCTCTTCCAGAACCCCGCCTACACGCAGCCCTACCAAGGATCCTCGGTGACCCTGTCCACTGAGGCCTTTCTCTACGTGGGCACCGTGATAGATGGGGGTGATCTGTCCCAGTTTGTACTGCTGATGACTAATTGTTACGCCACGCCCAGTGGCAATGCCACAGACCCCTTGAAGTACTTCATCATCCAGGATCGGTAAGACCCGTGGATGGGATTGTTGGGGAGGGGGGGTCTTTGGACTTGGATGGGGAAAAGTGTATCTTTATATTATTAACTTCTAGGTGAAAGTTAGCATTGCCATCCATTATGAACACAGGCAACAAACCACAGGATTAGCTGGACTTGTGAAAACATTTACACACATCAATACTTTTCAATCACTGTAGTATTAGAATTTCTACTAGTTATTATTATTGATTAGCAAATACATATACTTACAAATATGTTTTGTATGTGATGCATAAATCAATATTTATATGGCAGAGATATATATATATATATATATGGACTGCCACTGCCAGGTAGGGTCTTCAGAGAGGAGGCAGGGAAACAGATCTGAGAAAATGGCCTAAAATGTGCAAAGGTGGGCATAGGGTGACAGGGTCACATAAACCCAACCAAAGTGTCAAGAACTTCCTTATTCTTCTGCATGTGGAAATGTGGGTATTTTACAAGAAGGCACAGGTGGAAGTCGAGGCTTAACACAGAATGAAGGGTGGAAGTATAGACATCAGGGAAGTTTTGTTTGTTTGGGGGGCGGTTGGCTAGGGATAAGTCTTAAAGAACATGGATACCCTAAGGGATGCGGGAGGAGTCTCTGGCTGGCCATAGGCCCAGCTGCGCCCTGTGAGGCTGAGCCTTTCTGTCTGCAGGAAGCTGCTCTGAATGCCACAGCAACGCCACCTGCAAGGAGGATGGGGCTGCCACCACATGCTCCTGTCAGGAGGGTTTCACTGGCAATGGCCTAGTGTGCATGGACCTAGATGAATGTGCCATTTTGGGGGCACACAACTGCCCAGGGGACAGCAGCTGCGTGAATACGCTGGGCTCCTACACGTGCGTCTGCCCTGAGGGCTTCCACCTTAACCCCGGGCTCAGCTGCACTGACGTGGATGAGTGCGTGGAACCAGGACTCAGCCACTGTCACACCCTGGCCACCTGTGTCAACAGCCAGGGCAACTACTCATGTGTGTGTCCCGAGGGCTACTGGGGGGACGGGTGGCACTGCGAGTGTTCCCCAGGCTCTTGCAGGCCGGGGCTGGACTGCGTGCCCGAGGGTGACACGCTCGTGTGTGCAGATCCGTGCTGGACGCACAGCATCCTGGATGAGTACTGGCGCAGTGCCAGCTATGGGGCGGGCTATGCCTGTGACTCCAAACTGAGTGGCTGGTACCGCTTCGTGGGGCCAGGCGGCGTGCGCCTGGCTGATACTTGTGTGCCTGCCCTGCGCTGCAATACGGCCGCGCCCATGTGGCTCAATGGCACGCACCCATCCAGTGATGAGGCCATCGTGACCCGCACAGCCTGTGCGCACTGGAGCGGCCACTGCTGCCTGTGGGACGTGCCCATACAAGTGAAGGCCTGTGACGGCGGCTACTACGTCTACAACCTGACAGCGCCCCCCGTGTGCCATCTGGCATACTGCACAGGTGAGCAGTGTCTCCCCTCAACCCCCTCCAGGCCTGGATGGGCACCATGGGGGCTGGGGGCATCCTTGTTGACTATCTGTGTCTGTGATTGTGCAGACCCCAGCTCAGTGTTGGGGACGTGTGAGGAGTGCAGCATAGATGAGGACTGCAAATCGGATAGCGGCAGATGGCGCTGCCAGTGCAAACAGGACTTCAACGTCACTGGTGAGGCCAGTGGGGAGGAGGCGAGGAGCTGGGAAATGTCAGTGACTGGGCAAGGGACACATTCCTGCGTGTGACTTGGGGCATGTGGGGATGACCCAGGGGATGCATTATCATCCAATCTGAGTGAAAAGTCCATTGAGGAATACCCATTAAAACGAGCAAGAAGCTCTCTGAACTCCCAGAGTCTCCCTTTAGGTGATCTCAAAGCTCCCAAAGCTTGGGGGCCCTCTCACTGCAGCCTTCTTTCTGAGGCTCCCACACCACAGTGGATGCACAGGTGGCTGCCCCCTGTTGGCCAAAGGCTACCTGAGCCATAAACCTGCAGCACAAGAACACAGGAGGTCATCAGTCTGTGGTTTCTTGGGCCAGGCCCTCCACTGACCAGCTGAGAACCCTGAGCAGGTCTGGCCACCTCTAAGCCTCAATTTCCCCATAGGTACAATGAATGAAGCAGGGTAGTATTTCCCAAACATCAGCCATGATTTTAGTCTTATCCAAGTACCAGTTTTACAGTTTTGCTTTATCTAAGCACTACTTACACTGTGATTTTTAGTATTAACTTGTTTTTCTTCAGTTTGATTGAATCCTTCTACTTAAGCTTAGGGCACTGATGGTCACTACTGTGTCTGTCTGTGGCAAGTAATATCTCAGATAGAAGGTAACACTAAGAATGAATACAATGAAAGAACGTATTATCTCAGAAGGTAAGACTAAGAATGAATACAATGAAAGAACGTAATGAAATTCCAGTAGCTAGGTCATACTTCAGTTTTGAAAAGTTAAAAAAAATTCAACTGTATGTTGTTGTGTGCCCGAAATACTTGGCCTGAGGTCTGTGTTCCATTGTTTTAAAAAAGAAATTAGGAAAGATACCACATAAACAGCTAGTGAGGACTGCCTCTTTGATGCAGAAAGAATGGAAAGAAATTGCAGTTAACATATTAACTTGCTTTTCTGTTTTGTTTAGTTTTACTGGGATTCAATGTTATCTGATGTGGAACCACTGAACAACCCCAAAATGATACTGTTTTTTGTATACAGCCCACCCGTGGGGTAACACGGGGCTGGTGGTTGGTTGTTTGGAGTCCAATCTTGGGTCTCTGTCACTCTGCTGTGGAGACACAGTGAGATCACCCAAGGCTCCACTGAGAGCCAGCCTGGCTGGCGGGGCCTGGGCCCTGGGGCTGTGCTGGTCCCGAGCGGTGGTCACGGGCCTCCAATTCTGCCTTCTCTGTCCATTCCAGATCTTTCCCTACTGGAGCACAGGCTGGAGTGTGGGGCTAGTGACATCAAGGTGTCCCTGGGCAAGTGCCAGCTGAGCAGCCTGGGCTTTGAGAAGGTCTTCATGTACCTGCGTGACAGCCAGTGCTCAGGCTTCATGGAGAGGGGCGACCGGGACTGGATGTCTGTGGTGACCCCAGCCAGGGATGGCCCCTGTGGGACGGTGCTGACAGTATGTCCCGGCCAGTGTGGGGCAGGGTCAGAGCACTGCCTGGTTCAAGCCCGGCTCTACCACTTCCCACTTGTATGAGCTTGGGTGTGTTTTTTAACCTGGCTGTGCCTCAGTTTTCCCAACTATAAAGTGGAGTAATAACAGTACCTACTTCATAGGGTTGTTCACAGGGTTAAATGAGCTAACATGTGACATGATAAGACAGTGGCTGGCCCATAGTGACAGCTTAGTAGATATAAGCTTCAGATAAGAGGGCCATCCATGGTGATGGATCCCCATCCTACAGATGGAAAAAGTAGGGCCCAGACAGAGGGCAGTGGTGGTCCTAAGCCACCAAGTATCAGTGCGGGGTTCAGGAGGAGGCCTGTTTGTCTCTGGTGGTCCTGGCCCTGGAAGACAGGGTCTGCTTCATTGGTGCTGGGAAAACCAAGACCTTGCCTACAAAGGCCTCAAAAGGGACTCAGGGGCTAATGTGTGTGACTCCTCTTCCCGTCTACTTCGTTCCCCCCAACCCCCCCAGAAAGAAAACGAAAGAAGCCAAAGAAAGGAAGAAATAAATTAATTAATCGTCCTTTGCTAAGCATGGTGTTTGGAATTCTGCCATGAGTGGGGAGTCTACACATGGTTTTTAGTCTTTTTAGTGTTTGAGAGAGAAGCACGGCCTGGAGAAAAGAGCCCAGGCTTACAGATCCTGTGTCCAGTGGATGTAACTCGGGGCTGCTCAGTTTCTATGAGCCTCCATCTCCTTGCCCTAAGGCAGGAGGTGGCAGCCCTGAACTTAGGGTCATTGAAAAGGCAAACAACACAACGGTGCAGGAGGAGCGTTAGCTCAGGGCCTGGCACGTGATACATGCTCATAAATGGACACTGTTGGAACTATGGATTATGGAAACTGGGAGGGCAACTCACGGGTGGGTGGCGGGAGGAAACTTCTTTGGTTTTGAGTCCTACTCAGATTCTCATGCCTCTTTCTCCCACCCTCCCTACACAGAGGAATGAAACTCATGCCACGTACAGCAACACCCTCTACCTGGCAGATGCGATCATCATCCGTGACCTCAACATCAAAATCAACTTTGCCTGCTCCTACCCACTGGACATGAAAGTCAGTCTGAAGACCTCCTTGCAGCCAATGGTCAGGTGCGGCCAGAGAGGGTCCCCAGGGCCCCAGGCCAGCTCCACCCACCAAGGAGCTGGGTGGACGACTGGAACAGTGTAGCCCAGTGGAGGAGCTCAGCCGGGAAGTATGGAGCCCAGAGTAAAATCCAGCCTCTGTCACCTAATAACCAGATGGCTTTGGGAAGTGACAGCCCCACTCTGGGTGTCAGCTTTCTCATCTGTGAAATGGGTTCAGCAATACTTGGATGGCCCTTCTAGAAGCACAACAGCGCTCTGCAGATGTGAACCAAATTTTAGGGTCTCTGGCTTATCAGAGGGCAAGGTCATTGGACTGGAGGGAAGGCGGGAAGGCTCTCAGTGCAGATCTGCTGTGGGGTTTTGGGCTGTCATATCCCATATTTTGACCTCAGTGTCTTTCCTTCACTATAAATAGGAGTTTGATTGAAGAGAGGTTTACCAATTATGCTCCTTGGAGTTTGAGGGTCTTTAAGGAGGTGCCTTGGAGATTCCTGTGGGGTGAACCAGGAAGTTTTACCCATACTGGGAACCACATGAAGGTTTATTATTTTAAAAAAATTAAAAAGAGCCTGTTGCTGAATAAAATGGAAAGTCTTTGAATAGGATGAATCACAGATCAATGATGCTGATGTTGGAAAAAATTATAGTTGCAATCATTCCAAGCATTTATCAAAAGCAGACATTAGGCATTGTGCTAAGTACTCTACTTGGAACGTCTCATTGAAATCGTAGAGCACCCTAGGAAGGGTGGGTAATTATTGTTTAATTCCCATTATACAGATGAGGCAATGGAGACTCAGAGAAGGCTGAGTAACTCGTTTGCAAAATCTAGTAAGTGGCGGAGCTGGGATTCAAACCTAGGCCATCAGGCTCAGAGCCCCAACTCTGCCACGACCTTCACACTGAAGCTCGCCCATGGTTACATGTTCTCTGGGCCAACCAGACTCGGGGAGGGCAATAGGCACTGATGAAGGTGCGTGGCTGATCTGGGGGAAGAAGGCTGCTCACTGCCTGCCTTTAGCTGGAGCATCCCATGGCCCAGCAGTGCCCTGGAGCAGTGTGGTCATGCCCCAGGCCTGGTAGACTCTGGGGAACAACACATCTGTGTGCAAATGACACAGTCCAACTCTGAGTCCAAACCAATAACCCAAGTGTCGTCTGTAAAAAGGACTTCCACATTACTGAGTATTTCTCAGGCCCCTTATTTCCTGTGGCATCCATCTGTCCTTTATTTGATTACTCTGTGACATCTACATCATCGTGGCTATTTTCAATACAGTTAAACACAACCCATCTTAAAAGCCCCGGTCTTCTGCTGAGCTGGAGTCAGAACTCTGGTGTAGGCCTGGAGCATTCATGGCCCATCCTCTGAACTGTCCCAGGTTGAGACCAAAGACGGAACCTAGGTGATTCCCTTGAGAATCTGTTTGCTGTACTTCTTGAAGGCAAGGGCCACCAAGTGACGGGGTGGACACATTACAGAAAATGTGGTCTGTGGATCAGCAGCCGCACATCACCTGGGAGCTTGTTAGAAATGCGCAACCTTGAGCCCCACCCCAAACCCACAGAAGCAGAACCTGCATTCCAACAAGATCCCAAGGTGACCCCATGGGGGCTCACTGCAGTTTGCAAAGCAACAGTCCGTGAATTCCAGTCCTACTGCTGACAAAAATGCAGATAACTGCCCAGGAATGCCACCAGCAAGGGTGGCCCATCTGTCACTGTTTCCAGCTCTGGGTCTCATACCAGCCTTTCCCTCACTGCAGTGTCCTGAACATCAGTGTGGGCGGGACAGGCATGTTCACTGTGCGGATGGCGCTCTTCCAGAACCCCGCCTACACGCAGCCCTACCAAGGATCCTCGGTGACCCTGTCCACTGAGGCCTTTCTCTACGTGGGCACCGTGATAGATGGGGGTGATCTGTCCCAGTTTGTACTGCTGATGACTAATTGTTACGCCACGCCCAGTGGCAATGCCACAGACCCCTTGAAGTACTTCATCATCCAGGATCGGTAAGACCCGTGGATGGGATTGTTGGGGAGGGGGGGTCTTTGGACTTGGATGGGGAAAAGTGTATCTTTATATTATTAACTTCTAGGTGAAAGTTAGCATTGCCATCCATTATGAACACAGGCAACAAACCACAGGATTAGCTGGACTTGTGAAAACATTTACACACATCAATACTTTTCAATCACTGTAGTATTAGAATTTCTACTAGTTATTATTATTGATTAGCAAATACATATACTTACAAATATGTTTTGTATGTGATGCATAAATCAATATTTATATGGCAGAGATATATATATATATATATATACACACAATACATGTATCAAATGTTTTAATATTTTGGGAACTATACTTCAGTTTAACTGGTTTCCTTCATAACCTTATGTACTTTATTTTATGCATTTAAAATATTATTTTTGAGGAGGGATGCATGGGCTTCCCCAAAGGAAAGGGTGGAGCGGGAGTCCAGGACTCAGAAAAGGTTAAGAAACCTGATCAAAAGGCATGCCCAAGACAGGAGGCAGGCTGACACTTGGCCGGGAGGAATGAGGAGGAGGCATAGTTAGCTAAAGGCCTTTTGATCCAGGAAGGATACAGGTGAACTGCTTTGCACTCAAGAGAACTTAGGAGCTGTGACTACACCATGAGAGAGTAATTCCCATTTTCATTCATAAATCGAACAGATATTTTTGGAAGCTTCCTAGGTGCCAGCCTCTGCCCTCATCCGGCTGATACTGTAAGGGGGAGACCAACAAATATAAAAAAGTGAAATCGATAGCATGTCAGTAGTAAAGGGGCTACAGAAAAACCAGAAGCAGGGAAAGGGGAGGGAGGGGCATTTTCAATTTTAATAGCACCGTTAGAGACAGCATCCCTGAGAGATGGTACCTATTCCTGTTCCAAGTCCCTTAGAATCTGCCTGGTTACACCCAGGGGAAAGTCTCAGTCGGTGCTTATCTGACAGTCACACTTCTCTGTTATGGGCCAGTCTCCCTTTTCAACAAAATGAAAGCAGAAGTCTGTTTTAGGGCTTTTTGCAGTCAACAATGTTTAACTAAAATTTAGTAGCACTGTTTTCTTTGTATTTAATTGCATGGTCATGTTTAATTTATGGCAAGTGATACTGCCTTGCTATTTGTAGTCATGATCTGCAGATGCTTCTAAAAATTAGATGCATTTCAGTAAAAATGTGAGATTTAAAGAAAAATGGTAATTAAATAATAATAATAATATGGATGTTGGGAAACACAGGAAAACATTCCTGAAGGTGGTATCTAGATAAGGCAAAAAAAGAACTGAAATTGGGGAAAAGTTGGCCTGACCTTGATCGGAGCACCATGGAGAATTGGGTTCACACCCTGGCTTTGCTCTCACTCAGTTCTGAGACACAAGTCAGCTCATGTGCCTGAAGAGTCACATTCTCATGTGTGAAATTGGCATAAATCACCTCTACTATCCAGCGATTTGAAACTTTTCTTTCTGAGTAAGAAAGTATAGCATGGACATTGTGGAAAGTCTGGAAAGGTTTGAAAAAGAAGCAGGAAGAAATGCTGGGTGTGTGTGGAAGCCGACTCGAGGGCCACCTGTCAAGGGGAGGTAGCAGGATATCAGGGGATGTATAAGGAAGACACCAGGTAGGGGGGCAGAATGGCTAGAGGCGACACCTGGATGCCCTGCGTGGGTTGACAGCCTGCAGCTGCCGAGGGCTACACTGGATGCCACTCTCTCTGCTTTGCAAGAGGTAGGTGCCCTTAACCTCCAGGCTTTCATTTTGCCAAGTGGAGTTTGCACTTTTGGAATTGGATCTGAATTGCGGGGCACACAAAGCAGAGAGTAAACACCACCCCGAGAAGTCTCCTTCTCAGTTCTTCCTCTGTGTAATCAGCATTCAGCCCTTCTAAATCGATGTTGAGCAAATAGTGTGAGATAGCAGAGGGGACACACAGTCTGCCTGCCCAGAGGGCCCCTGTGGTCTGACCCAGCCCGGCACACACCTGAGTCCTGAATGCACACCTCTGAGTTTCGGTGCGATGGTGTATGCCTACAGATGGGCGCACACACTCCAGTCTGACCAGTGGGCCTCAGGACTCAAAAATTCCGTTCTTACAATTAGCACCAGGCATGTAGTCGAGAGCCAATAAATGGTAGGTAGTAATCCCTGAATGGCATTTCCTGGAAAATCAGGAAGTGCTAACTTTGAAATAGATGACATTTTTACTTTAGCATCATATCTATGTGGCATCAGTCATGTGCCCCATATGTTAGTAAGCATTTTGAAAAATTAACTCATTTAATCTTCATGACTATCTTATGATATGGGTTACAATGATTATTCCCTGCATTCAAATGGGGAAACCAGAGCACAGAGAGGTGGAGTAGGTTGCCCAAGGTAACCACAGCTACAGGGGATAGAGCAAGATTTGAACCCAGGCAGTCAGAGTATTTGCTTAACTGACCATACTATGTGACATAACCCTCCCAGATGTCCACACACCCGGGACTCAACCATCCAAGTGATAGAGAACGGGGAGTCCCCTCAGGGCCGATTTTCCATCCAGATGTTCCGTTTTGCGGGAAACCACGACCTGGTCTACCTGCACTGTGAAGTGTATCTCTGCGACACTATGAGTGAGAAGTGCAAACCTGTGAGTCACCTCCCCTCCTTCAGCCTGTTTGCCATGCCCTCTCCCTCCCCTGTCTCTCCCTCGACTCAAAGTCTAAAAGAAAATCAATGAACATTTCTGCTGTGTTTCTCTTTAAGTACAGAAATACAGTGAGCAGTAAGAGGGGGCGAGTGTGGCCAGGTAGGAGACTTAAGCTCTTGGGTACTCAGGTGGGATCAGAGCAGGGTGACAGGCTGATAAATGTTCCCACTTATATGCACACTTGTGTTCTAATAACAGAAGCTGACATTTTAAAGCACCGTGTACACCTTATCTATGTTAATTTAACTTTTTAATTTTTCACAACTCTAAAAGGAGGTATTTTACTAGTCTCCTTTTCTATATGGGGGAAGAGGCTCAGAGAACTTAGGTGAGTTTCCTAAGATCATGCATCTAACAAATGGTAGAGGTGGGACCCGAACCCTGGAGTATGGATCCCTTGACAACTCCTGCCTCCACCACCCTCAGGCCCCAGCCCGAGGCAGGAGGATGCTCCCCTGAGGGGTGATGCCCGCTCCCCATGGCAGGACCACATTCAGTCTCCCTCACCGAAGGGTTTCTTTGTCACCCTGTCCCTGCAGCCCTGCTCTGGGCCCAGATTCCGCAGTGGGAGCATCACAGACCAAACCCACGTCCTGAACTTGGGCCCCATCATACGGAAAGGTGAGCGCCGCTGCCTCCCCCATGTTCCTGGTGGGGAATATTCTCTGGATATGAGGAGGGATGACAGAGCCAGGCACTTGGGAACTAAAGGACTGGAGCAATGGCTTCTGTGGGGCAAGGTGGACTACGTGCTGCCTTTCTTTTACCAGTTCCTAGTCTTTCATTCATTTGTTCACTGCACAAACATGTTCTTGTACCTACTGTGTACCGGGCCCCATGCAAGTGGTTGGAGACTTCATGGTAAGTAAGAACAGACACAGCCCCAGCTTACACAGGGGTTATGGCCAGTCAGGGAGACATTATTCAAATCGAGGAAGGATTAGCTAAGAGGGCTGGGGGAGGCAGTGGGAAGGGACCCCAGAGAGAGGGTCCAGCACAGGCCAAAGGCCTGTGGTTGGGTGCACCCAATCTGCTAGAGGAACTGAGGAAAGACCAGCAGCTGGGAGGAGGAGGAGATTAGTGTGGGCTTACTTTCATACATGGGTGCAGATCACGTGAGGCCTTGCAGTTTCTGCTAAGGTTTTAGGCCTTTCTCCTGAAGGCAGCAGGAAGCCCCTGAAGGGTCCAAAGCAGGGAAGTGACGTGATCAGATCTGGATTTCAAAAAGACCACTCCAGCTCCATGGAGAAGAGCAGACTGAAGGGGCATCCCTATGGCTTCTTGCTAACCCCATGCCTTCTTGTGCTGATCCTTCTCTTTCCCCGATAGGTATCCAGGCCACTGTCTCCAGGGCTGCTTCCAGTGGCTTGGGTAAGTTCAGGCCCTCTTTTCAGGGGGACCTGTACCAGAACCTTCCTCTGGGGCTTAAATCTGTGGGCCCACTTGGTCTGAGCTCCGAAGACGCGACTGCATCTATGGACATTCCCGGGCCTGGTGCTGTAGACACACCTGTGCTGCCTCATAATAGTGCTTGTGCGTGCTCAGTCGCAACATACACAGGCAGCACATGAGAACGTACACCATCTAGATATGTTTGCACACACATATACATACCAGGTCATATGCACACATTTGTATTTGCACACATAGGTGCACTGACAGCTGGCATTGCATGTATGCATATTTCCATGTACAGACATATATACATTATAAGCCTGTGCACACCAGACATGCACACATACTCTAGATCTGTCCCTTGGGCATTTCCTGAAGATTCATGGCTCACCTCTAACACTGTTTTCAGGATTCATTCAATGGTGACAAATGTATGTTGAGTGCTACTACAGGCCAAGCACCATGCTTAGTTCCAGGATGAATGCAACAGACATACAAGAAACCCTGTCTCTCTGCTTCTCTGCTCCTCTGACCATAAAGGCCAGGAACTGGTAGCACTCCTATGGCCCCTTATTTTCATGGCACTGAATTGCCTAAAAATCTGGATGAAAAGTGAATCCATGTAACTATTGCCTTTCTTGGCTTCTGGCACCTAGATCCAGGACTAGGGTAACAAGGTGGTATAACTAAGTTGTTGTACCAACATTGTGTTTGACCTGAGCTAGTTCAACCCAGTATGAGTGAGCCTGGAGCTGGCGAGTCAGGGTATTCCTAAGAGGCTTGTTCTCTGCGAACATCCCAAGGTCACCAAGGATGGTTGAACAGATTGGGCAATGCACAAGACTTCCCTTTTGAGGGGAGACCAGGCCCAGTACCAGAGGAAAGGCTGCCTTCTTCAAATTAGCCCACTTGGTCCAAATGGGCTCCAAAGAGGGTAACTTCCCTATTTTTACACTGAGACTGATACCTTTTTCTAATTGGTTTTTAGGGCAGATAAAGAGAAAGTTTCCTTTTTCTAATTGATCAGCCCAGAGAGGTGACATTTCCTAACTGGTCAGTCCAGAAGAAGCATCTTATGTTAGTTCTGCGCAAAGGCTCATCAGTATTAGCAGTGGCCCTATAATTGCTTTCTTTTCAGGGCTCCTACAGGTCTGGCTGCCTCTGCTTCTGTCGGCATCCTTGACCCTGATGTCCCAGTGACTGGCAGCCAGAAACCCTGGGCTCTGTGGCTACCAACTCACCGCCTGTTGGCTGCGGACGCGATGCAGGCGAGTGTTCCAGCCACAGAAAAGGGAGCTCACCTTTCAGTCAACCGGCCCCTATTTTGTCCCATTGAATCCTTGCTATTGAAAAACAGCTGTGTCTTTAAATGCTGCCTTCTCTCAAAATGCAATCTGTCCCATACCTGCATATGAGGCCCCTGTCTCCTTAAAGAGTATGGCAAAATAATAACTTTAAAAGCCCAGTCTTTGAAGTCATTTATTCATTATTCATTCAACGAATATTTATTGAGTGCTTTGTCTCATGTAGGGCCTGCCTGTGGTGCTGATGATTCCATGATGAAAAAAACCAGACTCCATTCCTACCCTGATTCTGCTGTGTGACCTTAGATAAGTTAAACAATGTCTCTGAGCTTTATCCATCCATATTCTTATCCACCCATCCACCCATTCATTCAGTCAAGAGATATTTGCTGAGCAACTATTAGGAGCCAGGCACTGTGCTAGATCTGGGGATACAGCAACGAACAAGTCAGACACAATCCCTGCCCACCTGGAGCTTATGGTCTGGTGGGGGAAGTGATTACAAGTGTGTCTGGCAGAAACAGAAGGCACCACAGGTGCTGCTGCTTCTGTATAATGTGGATAATACTGGTGCCCACACAGGGTTCATTCAGTTTTTCCAGAACATTTATTTGAGCATCCACTACATGCAAGACACTCTGCTAGGTGCGGGAGAAACCCTAGTGAACCAGGCGGACATAGTCCCTGCCTTCTGGAGCCTCACAGTCCTGAGGCTGATGTATCTGACACCTGCTGGGAACCTCCTCTGTTCACCGTACTTCTCCCTCCCAATCCTGAAGATGGAGCAGCAGCAGAAAGCAGACCTGTTACTCCTATCGGGAGGAGAGGCTTTGCAAGGGGCCTCTAGGGAGCTCTTCCAGGCATGCTCAGAACCAAGAGATCACTGGGCCTGGGAGACCTAGATAGCCCAAGGGTCTCTGGACTTTTTTTGCCAAGAGGGCCAAAAGAAGCCAATGCCAATGGGAAATATCTGCACAGATGCCAGCTGCTTCCCCGGACTCCAGCTGTGGCTTTCCTTGAGAGACCAAGGTCCCTTATGACCCCAGGGAAAGCCACACGTGTGTATCAGCAAACCAGGGCAGCATATCTTGAGTTAAGGGACCACATACGTAGACGTGCACCCAATCCCCATGCCTTTATGTAAGAGCTTTATGTAGGGAGTCCCTGGTGCAAAGCCCAGCCCAGTCCACGGTCAGCCCATGGTCAGTTGTGCCTGGCTAGACCATGTGCAGATTCATCTGTACTTTGACTCAGGTACAACAGAACATAAAGAAAAATAAAATCAAGGGCCAAAGGCAAGAGTAAGGGAAAAGAAAGCAAATTAGAATTAATCCTTTCATCTCTCTGTTCCCTGTCTTTTCCTTTCCTTTTTTCCCCTTTCTTGTTTTTTATATCAGTTAATTATTCAGCTTAATATTCAATAGACATTTTGATCATGAATTCAATGCCCAGCATTTTTATAGGTACCAAGGAAACAGCAAGTAATCAAAACAGAGCCCTTGCTGGTAGGGAGCTTATGTTTAAAAGGGCAATACATTTACACAATAATTAGTGAAAGGTCAGGTAGTGACAAGCATTTTGGGGAAAAAAACGAATGGAGAATAGAGCTGTGGAGTGTTACTTATACAGGATGGTCAGGGAAGGTCTCTGATAAATGAGGCTTACAGAAGTAAGAAAATGAACCAGAGGGATATCTGAGGAAGAATATATTATAAGCAGGTGCAAAGGCCCTGAGGCAGGATTTTTTTTACCTTTCCACCAAGGTTTGATTAAGACTTGAACAGCCTTAAATTTGAGGTCTCACTCACAGGAGAGGGTCTGAAGCATGCATATTGTGGGGTTTTCCCATTTGCTTACTCAGCAATACTTCCTGGATGCTGGTGAGAACTGCCAGGACAGGACCCCTGTCCACAAAGATCCCTGCCTTCAGAGGCAGACAGATAAGTTAGCAGGTAACTGAATGTGACTGGAATCATCCCAGAGCAGCACAGAAGCAGAGAAGAGAAGCACCAGCAAGCCTGTGGAGTTTAGGAAAGGCTTCCTGGAGGAGGTGAATCTGAATGATAGTGGGAGTCTGGGTTTGGTATGATCCAGGTACAGGGAACAGCATATGCAAAGGTTTGGAGGTGAAGGAGAGTTCAGAGAAGCACATACTGGCCAGAGCACAGAAGGTGTGTAGAAGAGGTAGGAGCTGTGCACAGGGGTCCGATCCCAGGAAGCACAGAGTGCCAGGAGTGAGGGAAAATGCTAAGATGATACTGGGGTATCTGCCTGCAGGGGTGATAACAGAGCCAGAGGGGACAAGAATGAATGCAGGAGACCCATCAGGCAGCTGTTAAAATCATCCTCATAACAAGTGGTGATGGCCTGAATTAGGGCTGGTGACGTGGGTTTGAAGAAAAAGGATAGAGTCAAGAAATAGGAAGGTTGAGTGGTTATGATTTGGTGATTATTGGAAATGAGAGGCTGACGTTTCTAGGTTGGGTGGTCAGATGGGCGGCGGTGCCACGGATTAAGGTAGATAATGCGACAACGAGGGAGAGATTAAGGGGAATTGAGGGGCTCAGATCTGGACCTGCTGAACTCAAGGTACCTCAAGAATCTCAGCCCAAGCAGAGGTTCAGCAGACAATGAGGTAGATGGATCCAAATTTCAAGGGTGTAGTTGGGGGTAGGGATACAGATTTGGGACTCACCAGTCTATGGATGGTACTTGAAACCGCAAGATAACTTGACACCTTCCGAGGAGCATATATGGAGTAACAAGAAAAATAGGACCTATCAGCATTCTCAAGGACAGCTGGAAGAAGAGGATAAAGCTAACGACAGAATGTGAGTATGCAAATTAAAAAACAGTGGTGTGATGGAGTCAGGGAAATGCAGTGCCCAGAGGGAGCAGCCAGAAATCTGTTGACAAGGAGCCAGAAAAAATGCCCAATGACTTGCCTGTAAGATGACTCTGGCAGGGCAGCTTTAGCCACATGGTTCTGATGGGGCTGGAGAAGTCAGAGGAGAAATGGAGGCACTGGCTTTGAAAAGGAAGATCACCTCATCAGAAGTTGGGAAGAAAGTGGAGGATGGAGGTGTTTTCTGTGTTTCTAGGGGAAGGGGACACAAAGTTGAGTGAGGGCAGGTGCAGTGGAAGTCAGTTTTCTTCAAGAGGGTGCAAGACGCCTGCCGAGAATGGGGTGGGGGCCAGTGAGTGGGTAGTGCTGGCTGCAGAGACCGTTGGAAAGGGTGGAGAAGGTGAACGTGGCCACTGGGGAGACAAGGGTGAGTACCTGTGCAGAATGAACAGATTGGTGGGCTATGTGGGAGGCCCCGGTGATTTTCGGAATCCTGCATTTGTGGTTAAGCTCCACAATTAGGGTATTTTTCTCCAAATGCACCTGGCAGAGAGAGGATAGCTTATGGCACCTTTGCTTTGTCCAGGCTGAGGTTTGGTGGGAAGGTGTTATAATGCCAGGACCTCCATGCTGCCCATTCCCAGTAAACTTGAAGAGGCTCCCAGAGTAACACAGCATTGGCCACTTGTTCTGTAAAAGCTTTGGCTTCTTTATTAACTCCATTTTATCTACCATGCCACAAAAGCCACGCTCGAGTTTCAAACCCCAAGATGTACAGCTCCCTCTCAGTTCCAAGCCCTCCGATCTCTAGACAGCCCACATATCAGAAGGGATGGGAGGAGAGGCTATTCTTCTATTTGGTGCAGGGACATTGTCCAGCCTTTGCTATCCCATGATTCACCATCACCAAATTAGCCCTTCCTAGGCTCCTCAACACTGAGTATCTGAAGTTGGGTGGATTCTATGGGCCACAGTGGCAAACACTCATCCCCGCCCTCCTTCCTTATTTATTCCCTGGCTCTGACTGGCTCCAAGCTGAGTGGCATCCAGACAGAAACACAAATGTTCTAGGTGATTAGCTAGGAACACAAGGCACAATTGGAAATCCATTGTTTAAACAATTGCCTGTTTGATTTGTCTCCACTTCCTTTTGGGTATTAGGCTTCCTTTTGATTAGTGTTTGGTTTCTGGTAATAAACATGACACCAGCTTCATTGTTTTATTGTGAGGATTTAATGTGAGAAGTAGTGGGTGCGAATCACTCAGCAGGGCAGTGAGTTTAGCCAGCAGTACGTGTTGCCTTTTTTATAGAGAAGCGCTGCATGAAGGAGAGGCTGCTGGAAGGGCTTCCACTGGAGAGAGTGGGTGGCAAAGGTCCCTTCCTTCATCATCCTTGTGGCAACTTGCTTATCTTATCTATACCCAACAAGTCCAGTATATGCCTGAGAGATTAACTCTAGTCATACCTCAGCACCAATCACGGGGAGCCACGTGAATGGGAAATTACAATAAAAGGCGGTCCACAGCAGACTTGCATTCCCTCAGCTGGCCAGAGGAGGAGGAACCCTCTGTCTTCTTACCCCGAGGTAAGTCCTGCTTCAAGCCCCAGCAGGCTTTTTCTTGACCCTGGTGGGCTTCCTCCAACCCTTGGACTTGCTAGGGTTATTTGTTTCGGGGACCTTTCGGAACCAGCAAGGAGTTTGGATCCTGGCCCTTGACCCCACTCCAGATACCACTCTATGTCCCGCTAACCCTGATTCCAGATGCTCCCCCACACCCCCAACACTCCCACCAGGATGACAGGCTTCTACCTGGGATCTCATCTCTAAGAACTACCAGTCCTGGGAGCTTACCCACAACATACTCATAATATCCTTTCCAGAAACAGATCTCTATCTTCAGTGGAAGCTTTCTGAAGGCTGTAAGAAGTCATCCAAAGATTTGCCCATTTGAGGAAAGAGTTTCCCAGAAAACAAAAATGTTACTGAGTGTTGGCAGGCTCCTCACAGCTCTGTCTCCACCTGCCTCCCGCCCTCCATTTATTCACTCATCCCTCAAGTCTTACTGAGCACCCCTTGTGTGCCGAACGCCATGCTGGGAGCAAGCAGTGTGCGGCTGTCTGACATGGTCCTGCCCGCACAGAGGGACAGACACATCACGGGTTCTCAGCGCAATGCCTGGTACACAGAACTAAGACAGAGCACCTGTTACTTTTGTCTGTAGATATTCACAGCTTGTAACCCTCCCCGCCAGCCAATCTCCAAGAGCCTCTACCTCTACCTGAGTGGAAATCAACCTGAAACCTTCAAGGCATTCTGCAGTGCTGGCTCTAAGCTTGGCCTTTGGTTTTCTTGCTGTCAACCTCATCCCCTTGGCAAGTCTCATACTCCTATTACCCCACCTCTTTTCTGCAAGTCACGCCTGCTTTAAAACAACACAGCCCTTCATGAACCAGTTGGTCTGTTTCTGGGAACACGGACCTGTGGCCTTAAGCAAGCCATTTAACTGACAGCACAGTGCTTGCACATTGGAGGAGCTATGCAAATATTTCTGGGATTAAGTTACTGAGTCTCAGTTTATTTATCTGTAAAATGGGAGCAATAATAATACCATCCCTGGAGGTTGGCTCAGAGCCTTACATGAGCTGAGGTATGTGATGGGCTTAGAACAAGTCACATTCCCTTCCTCCCCCGGCACCCAAAGGAATGACTGTCACCCTGATCCTACCTGGATCTTTCCCTCTCTTAGCTGCATGGAAAGTCTGCACGCTGCTGAGTAACCTGTGTGGCTCAGTTTATGGACATGATGGCAGGCTCTTATGTCCTGTGGCTGACCTTGACCTCCTGCATCCTGACCCTGGCATCTACAGAACAGCAAGGTGTGTGTTCTGCTCACCTGGCATCTCAGCTGCCCCACAACACCTGGGGAGTGGGAGGTGCAGAGAAGACGATTTAGGGTCAGTGAGGAGAGCAGGGGTGTGTCCAAAGCAAAGACTCAGAAGCTAAAAGTGGAGAACAAGATGAGAGAAACGAGAAGCCAGTCATAACCTCTCAAAGAGTCAAATTAAAACTCCCCCTGAAAGGATGGTGGGAGTCAGGTGCCATAACTTTCCATGCCCAGGCTAGGGGGAGCCACCCAGTTGCTGTGTGCCCATGCTTGGCAAGCGCCTTCTTCCTCCAGAGGAGTTTGCTCGTCTGTGAAATGAAAGCCCTTGGCTTAGTGATCTCTCTGTGGGCCTCCCAAAGATCTACAGATCAGGCCTCTTAGTGCTTGTAAGAAGGCTCAACACCAGGGTGAAAATTTCTGCCCTCATCACCTGTGGAGGGGGCCTGATAGGGGAGGGAGGGACTCAGTTCACAGCCTTGTTTGGGAAAATACAGCATGTGCAGGAAATAATCCAAGAATAACAGGTGTAGCGACAGCTTTCTTTAAAACAAGCATATACAAAGGCAGGGCTTAAAAACCTCTTTTTTGTAAAAAGTCCCTCTAACACATATTATAAAAAATATGATCCCGTATGTGTATTTAATTCATCATTCAGGCACTCATGCTATTCAACAAACCAGAACTAGGGAAGAGAACTAGCTCGAACTCCCACTGGGACCCAGGTGCTGTCCTTGGCATTTTATACCTATTATCTCATTTAGTCCTCCAACAATCTTTAGGGCTTTATTCCCCAAAACAGGGCATACATATCCCAAGATGACAGTGGAGTTGCATGGCCAACTCTTAAATAATTTTTTTGATGTCTAAATACATGTTTTTTTCATGTGTATTAAAAAATACAGCTAGTGCACCATACCATACCTATGGCCTCATAGATACTGCCCCTTAGAATGAAACAAATTCACAAAGAGAATCATCGAAAAAAACGTATTAATTAAAGAACAGAACAGGCAGACACAAGTGTGGTAAATATCATGACCCAAAGCCCAGGGATGGATGAAATGGGGGGCCACTCGTTTGCAGGGGTTTTTCGGCAGGTGCGTCTCAGCGGAGGTGAACCACCTGCCGAGGTCATCAGCTAGCAGGCGCCGGGCTGGACTCAAACCCAGACTGACCAGCCTGTGGTTCCACATCCTCCTCATCCCTCTGCCTGGCTTTATTTCTCTGCCTCCTTACACATCACAGTCCCTGAATCCAGTAAAAACCACGGTACCTGTGATCAGGAAGGGTCCCGTCAGGCCAGTGGTTCTCAGCTGGAGGGGCTTCTGCCGTCCAGGGGACATCTGGCAATGTCTGGAGCCAGCTTTGGGGAGGGAGGACAGTACTAATGGTTCCTTGTGAGAAGGGACACTGCTGAGCTACCACAACGCCCAGGACAGCCCCCAGCAGAGAATTCTCTACCCTGAACACCAGTGGTGCTAAGGTTGAGAAAATTTGGGTTAGAGCTGTAACTACTAAGAATGGAAAAATGTCTATGATACACTAAGTAAAAATGGCAAGTGGGGAAAAAAATTTGTACAGCATTAAGCCCATATTTTAAATTAAAAAACCTCTACTATTTTAAACATATGCATAGAGAAGGTCTTAAGACTATACAATCAATGTATGGTTACTTCTGGGGATGGTATGGGCTCATGACAGCTTTCATTTGTGCTTGATTCATTTTAATGGCATTTGAGGTTTTTCCAATGAGCCAGTATTACATTCATAAATGAGAAAAACAGATATTGATCAGCAGGCCCACAGTGAATGGTTGCACAGGGGAGCACTGCACAACTCCAGAGCAGGGGAGCCACTAAACTCAACGCAACGGTGCCCGCTGGGGCTATGCAGGGTGGAAATGCCTATGTTCATAAGGCGTATAAAATACCACACAAAGGCCTCACTGTTAATTCTGATCCTAGGGTGATGAAAGCTGATGTTTAATTGATGGCTTGTGTGCCTCTTGTCCTTATTAGGGTCCTTAGCACATCCAAACAGAGTGGGTAGTAGTGGGAATAAAAGTCCTGTAGGCTCTGGGGTTGCTTAGTAAACCCCAACCAATCATACTGTTGCTTTCCAGGTTACAGAAACCTCACTGGCGCCAGTTCCAATGGGCTGGACTTGGAATGCGGGGCCCCTGGCACCCCAGATGCCCACAACTGTTTTGACCCCTGCCAGAATTATACCCAGCTGGACCAACCCTTCCGAAGCACAGAGAACACAGAGGAAGAGCAGGGGTGTGACAGGGACATGAATGGCTGGTACCGCTTTGTGGGAGATGGAGGGGTGAGGATGCCGGAGACCTGTGTCCAAGTGTACCGATGCCAAACGGCTGCTCCCATGTGGCTGAATGGGCCACACCCCACCCTCGGGGAGGGCATTGTCAGCCGCACTGCGTGTGCCCACTGGAGCGACAACTGCTGCCTCTGGAAGACTGAGGTGCTGGTGAAGGCCTGCCCGGGCAAGTACCATGTGTACCGGATGCAGAGCACCCCCGAGTGCAGTCTGAGATACTGCACAGGTAAGCGTCCCAGGCCCCAGAGGCAGCTTCGGGGAGGGGCCACCCTGCCGGGGGAGTGGGGAAGGCAGTGGGGAGAGTGGAGCAGATCAGCAAGAGACAAAAAGAACAGCCTGGAATCAGCTCCTGCCCATTATTTCCCAGTGGGAATATTGCCCAAGGGTTGCTCGATCTCCCAGTATTTCAAGAAAAGCCAGAAATTCAGATTCTATATAAGGGTGAAATCTCCTTATATATATTTATATACATCCATGTATGTAGCATAATAGTAAGAACGCGGCTCATTCAGATTTAGATTCCTTTGCCTCTCTGAGCTTTGGTTTTCTAATCTGAAAAAATGGATAATGGCAAGAAGAGCCACTAATGCCTGGTGCTTACAACATCTGTGCTCCTATCCTAAGCATGTCAGACTATTATTTAATATTCTTACCAACTTCATGCGATGGTACTATGTCATTATGCCAGATGAGGGGCCTGGGGCAGAGAGGTTAAGGAGCCCTCCCAATATCACAGAGCCGGAACACAGTGGAGCTGGGACTTGCACCCAGTCACTGCGGTTCCATGAGCTATATGCTTAGCCACTAAGCTTCCGTGTCTCAGTCACCACAAGACCTGAATGAGCCAATGCATAGTAAGCAGTAAGATAGCAGTTTCTGGTTCTCAATTCTCGGAACCAGGAGTCACAAAACCTGAGTTTAAGGCTCCACCCTCCCACTAAGTATTGCACAACCTCAGGCAGGACTTCTGTGCCCTGGTAGAAGGACAAAGTTGGCCTTGGCGGCCTCAGGCCCGCCCTACTCTGCACCCTGACTGGCTTCATCCATGCCTCACTCCCTAGACCCTTTGACTGCGGAGGACAAGTGTGACAAAGCCTGCCGTCCCGGGGAGGAGTGCCGACTTGTCAATGGCACCTGGGGCTGCTTCTGCAGACAGGACTTCAATGGCTCTGGTGAGCAGCTGTGTGGCGGGCTGTGCACATGGCGCTGGTGGAGGCAGGCCGGAGTGCGCAGGGTGGCAGGGAGCGGGCTTCCGAAGGGACAGGTGTGGGCCAGAGACAGGGGGGATGAAACTGAGGTCAGGGAGCACGGTTCTCAAAGCCAAGGAGTGGGTGGGATGAATTTTCAGGTCAGCCACTGGGACACAGCCTCCAGAAGTGGCTCTGGCATGGGTGGGCTTGACCCACGGGGGACAAAGGAACCGAAGGTGAGAACTCTGCAAAGTGGAAGCTGCACTCAGACATCTGCAGAGCCTATACCCGAGGGACACGGACAGACCCCTATGTTGGCCCTGGATTTCCCATGTAGTAGCCCTGGGGTCTAAAACAATGCACCTACCCTCTCTGAACCTTAATGTCCTCATCTGTAAAATGGGAATAAGATACTAATTAAAATACCAACCACACAGGGCAATTATGAGAATGCAATCAGAGCAGTCCACACAAGCAGGCTCAGGAGATGATGAGCTTCTTGTCTCAGGAGGCAAGCAAGCAAGGGCAGATGGCCCATGGGCAGGGATGCCACAGACTAGCCCTAAGTCCTGGATGCGGGTTGGAGGAGCTTCCCATTGAGATCATTTTTTTCCCTCCCAAGACCCTACCACCTCTGCCTCCTGTGCTTGGCCCAAGCATGCCTTGCCATGAGCACACTCCTGTCCCTGCATTGGAGCCTTCTAGGCAGAAGGACACAAACAGAAATGACACGCTTGGGAAACTGGGCTGGAGTGTGGTCCACATGGCACGTGGGTGCGCCTGGCAGGAGCAGCAAGGGGGTGAAGGCAGGGCCAGGACAGCGACAGCCTGCCCCCTTTGGGGGCTCTGCACCTTGGGTGGACAAGTGCCCAGAGGGTCAGGGTTGTTTCCTGGGTTGGGGCCACCACAGAATCAGACACTGGGCTTTGAGGACACCTTCTCTGTGCCTGGATGGGCTCCAAAGTCGGCTGGGTAAGCAGGTGGCCTGCCCTATGTCTTCGACAGTGACTAGCCACTGGGTCCCCATTGTTTCCAGACACAAACTCTTTGTGGTCTGGCTTTTGCTCACTTCTGCATCTCCCACAGCTCCACCCATTGCCCATTTTAAGTTCCTGGACCTCAGCACTCCACACCTCTGCGAACACACCTGGGACGCCCTCACTTGCTTTATCCATCTGCAAAACTCCTACCCCCATTTAGTCTCATCTCTCTGTGAATCCTCCCCCGACTTAACCCACAGACAGACTTGTATGTCTCATCTGCCCCTAGAACACACTTCTGTTAGGACTTCCGTCATGGTGCATTATAATAAGCTATTGACATGTTGGTTTTTACACAAGGCCAAAGGATTCTCATGGGAGGGGTCCATGTTTTATTTTTGTGTTGAATGTACAAATAAGGTGGTTAGTAAATGTATGTTGAATCAATGCATTCATGAATGCAATAGATTATTTCCCTTAATTTACTATCTATCTCCCCTATCAGAATGGTAGCTCTATAATGGTGAGAATTTTGTCAGTTTTGATAAGCATTGTATCCCCAGTGGCTAGATCAGTGCCTGGCAGATGATATATGCTCAAGAAGTATTTGTTGAATAACTGTTGAATGAATGAATGAATGAATGAATGAATATGATGGCTCTGAACCCGTTCAGATGTGTTGGTTTCACAAAGCCAGGGAGTGGGAGTAGTGTGCATCTAGCTTTTATTTTAGTCTGGAATGTGGGACAGTCCTGCTTCCCCGGAGATGCCACCCCAAGGGGCCTAGGCATGAATGCCCTCCCCACACCCACACAGACAATGTGCAGACATCTTGCACAGGGGGCTTCTTTGCCAATCTCATCTACCACAAGTCTGGGAATGAATCCTACCTGGGTCCCAGGCCCCTTCTCATCTACCTAACCTTCTGGTGGCTTTGGCTCTGGGCTCTGCCCACTGCTTCTAGACCACTGTCCGTTTTACCCAAACCCCTCTTGACTTCCCAGATGTCCCCAGTTTGAAGCCTCAGCTGAACTGCGGGGCCGAGGAGATCACGGTGTCAATAGACAAGTGCCTGCTGGGAGGCCTGGGATTTGAGGACGAAATCATTGCCTACCTGCGGAACCAGAACTGCAGCAGCAACCTGCAGAAAGAGGAAAGGAACTGGATCTCTGTGACCAGTCCCACCCAGGCTGGTGCCTGTGGACACATTCTGGAGGTGAGTGGCATTTACACCACTGCTGCCAGAGCATGGGAGTGTTGGCCTGGTGAGGCCCATCTCAGAAGCTGTGGGACCTTGGGCAAGTCACTTAGGTGATCTGGGCCTCTAAGAGCATGTGAGGGTACACGTGTTGGTTCATGGAAAAAGCTTAGAATAAGTCCGATGCTATAACTATGATTGTTCTGCTTTAGGGGTCATGTGGGAGGGGTTGACAGAGGAGCAAGCATGGTGCTTCCTGACTTCCCCAGGCTCAATATGTTATTGTTCTTGCTTTTGATTGGGGTCCTCACTCCCCTTCCCATGAGTGTCAAAGTCAACCGGGAAAGAGGCCCATTGGCTCCTTGTGATCGGAAGGCAGGGTTGCATAATGGACAGCATCGACTGTGGAGGCAGAGACCTGAGTTCCAGATACACCCACACCTGTATACACATGAACATATATGTGGTCTTGTTTTTATACCAAAGAGAAATGGAACCCATGCCATCTACAAAAATACCCTCTCCTTGGCCAGCGATTTCATCATTAGAGACACCATCCTCAACATCAATTTCCAGTGTGCCTACCCCTTGGACATGAAGGTCAGCCTCCAATCTGCCCTGCAGCCCATTGTAAGGTATGGCATTGACCCTTGCCCTTTGACCCATACCCCTGCTATTGGTCACACTCGCTTCAAGCACAGCTTATGATGTCCACAGGACGCCACCTACCTCCTTCAGGCGCTTCCATTCTTTCAATCATTCATTCTGCAAAGATCTACTGGTCATATGTTCATGTTCAACATGTACAAGGCAGACAGAGAATACTTTGTGGGTATTAAAAGTCATTATCATGAAGCAATGCAGCAACATGAAACAATGTTAATTAAATATGCAAAGGAGCAAAACTATGACAAGTTCATTTATCTTGAGGAAGAAAGGCATTAAACAACTAATTACATCGATAATTATTTACAAGTGAGATGAATGTAGAAGCACGGGGTGCTGTGGGACCAGGGAACAGAGGTCCTGCCCTAATCTTGGTGGGGTGGGGATGGCAGGAACAGGAAGGCTTCCCCGCAGATGTGGCATTTAAGCTGGGGTCAGCTTTGATTGGATAAACAGGACCCCCAATTCTCCAGAAATAGAGCCAGAGAGCACCTTCGGGCAGAGTGTCTCCCTTGTTTGCTCACAGCCGCATCACTGCGCCCTCAGTGGGGCCTGTGGAATGGATTCCTCAGTGTTCCTGGACTTGCCTGGGGACTTTTCTGAAGCATCCGAAATTCTGGGTGCCCTTCCCATTCTCTCACTGCCCTCTGGGCTCACAGAAGAGCAGGATTAGAAGGATTCGAAATTTTCTAGTTCAGTAGGGGTTTTCAGACCATACTGTGTCAGGGCGCCAAGGTTCATATAAAATAAAAATTAAAGCCATTCACCTTGTTGAAGTTGATGTTTCACTGATGATTGTGCAGTGGAGGGATGGGATCTGCTGCTAAAGCTTGTGGACCAAGCAGGACTGGTCCCATTCTACAGGTGAGAAGGCAGAGGTGTGCACTACAGCTCTTCGAGTGAAGGAGATGTGATCTGTGATGCCAGGACGATTTGTGGAAATCCCATCTGCTTATTCAGTTTCTGCCTAGAAGACAGTACATGCTTGACTTAAATGAGCGATTGAATAGTTCATTAAGGGAGCAAAGATAGGCCTTTGTCTGCATGACCTTACTCAGGGGCAGGGCTGGATTTATTTGGTTCTCACTGGCCAAAACCTGATGTTTCCACTCTTGTGGTTTTTCTTGTCTCAGTTCTCTGAACTTTAGTGTGGGTGGGGAAGGAGAGTTCACTGTCAGGATGGCCCTCTTCCAAGACCAGAGCTACACGTCCCCTTATGAAGGGTCTGCTGCTGTGCTGTCTGTTGAATCCATGCTCTATGTGGGCGCTATACTGGAGAGAGGGGACACCTTCCGGTTTAACTTGCTGCTGAGGAACTGCTATGCCACCCCCACTGAGGACAAGAATGACCCTGTGAAATATTTCATCATCAGAAACAGGTAGCAGACAACTCGGGGGTTATCTTTTGGCCTGAATGAGGTCTTGGCGGAAAATGATCATCTCATCCCTGCCTGGCAGTTATGTAAATTGGCTTAACTCTTTGGAGAAATAATTTGGTATTATGTATCATGACCCCACCCTTTGGGGACATCAGTCCTGAAACTTTAGCCTAAAGCATGAACATAAACTAGGAGGGCAGGGTAAAGAAATGCCAGTTATTTTTCATTTCAGTATCGTTTAAAACTTTGGCAATAGGTTTGTAGTTCAAAAACAGGACGTCTATTAAGTATTGATAGACTATTGTATAGATGTTAACAGTGACTGATCAACTTGAAAATAGTATGGCAAGTGTTATGGGACCAAATACTATTGAATACTGTTAATTATCAAAATGGAAAATGGACATCTGTATAGATCATGATTCAAACCATGGTAATAATACCAGTGAATATTTATCCCTGAGCTTAGCTGTGCATCAGGCACTGTGCTAAGTAATATATATGCATTATCTCATCAAATGCTCACAAACCATGGGAGGTGCAGATTACCATCTCCACTCTATACATAAGAAAAGTGAGGCTCAGTAAGGTTAAGTCATCTGCTCATAATCACTTACCTAGAAAGTATGTGTGGATGGAATTTGAAACTAGTCATTCTCACTCCAGAGACTGTGCCCCCAAAACTTAAATCATGTGGGTTTATGGATAACACTGGAAAAAACTGAGAGGAATACAAGTCCATATTGTCAGGATAGAGGGAACCTGGGGGTTCTTTCATTATCTCTGATGCTGCTTTTATAATGGATACAGATTAAAGATGCAGCCTAGGGCCTCAGGCCCTCTGAGCTATCCTAGAAGTTACAGCCTTGCCCCTGTCATCCTCTCAGCTGCCCAAATCAACGTGACTCCACTATCCACGTGGAGGAGAACGGGGTATCTGCGGAAAGCCGGTTCTCGGTTCAGATGTTCATGTTTGCTGGAAACTACGACCTAGTTTTCCTGCATTGTGAGATTCATCTCTGCGACTCCTTTAATGAACAGTGCCAGCCGGTGAGTATCTCTTTGGACAGGACTACTCAATGCCTGGCCTGAGGCCTGGTACCTGGTAGACTCACCATATATACTTCCTGGAATTATGGAAGGATGGGAAGGAGGAAGATGAAGAGATGGAAAGATGGACAGATGACTGGATGGGAGGGAGGGAGGCAAGCAGAAAGGATGAATGGATGGCCCTAAAGCAATTATGGTGTCTCCAGGAGGCAGCTCAGATGAAGGAGCCTGACCATTCGGTTTCCTTGGCACAAGATATATTGTAAATGATTTCAGTAATAGCTGACTTTTTTAGTACTTTATGTCACTGTACTAACATGTTCATATGCCTTATCTAATTTGATTCTCACCACACCCTTCAAGTAGATTGAAACTGAAGCTCAGAGAGGTCCCTTGCCCAAGGGCCACACAGTTAGAACTGTGGGAAGGGACCCGGCTATAGGGTGACTCCAGTGTCTATGCTCTCAACCCGCTTGGCACTGCCTGTTCATAGTGGGCGTTTGTTGAGTGCTTACTCTGCATGCCTGCATGTTGCAGACAAACCTGATTTTAATCTTTGCTGCTAGGAAGGTAGTATTTAGTAATATCAGAGAAGTGAAGCCATTTGTCCCAAATTAGAGAACTGACAGAGAGTGGAGATGAGACTCAAACCTGGGTTTGTTTGACCAGAGAGTAAGAACTCTCTGGATTGAGAAAACCATAGCATGGGAGTTAGGGCCGCATGGTGGGGTACCCCACTCTTGGCCCAAACCTCCCGCTGCAGGAGCAGTCTGGGTAGGGACCATGCCTTTACATTGTGATATAATGAGCTTTCTCCATCCACACAGTCTTGCTCAGGAAGTCAGCTCCGCAGTGAAGTAGTGGCTATCAACTCAGAGCGGGTTCTTGATTTGGGACCCATCACTCGGAGAGGTAAGTAGCTAAGTCCTGGTGCCAAGGGCAGCCGGCCAGGTGCTGACAGGTAACCACAGATGCCTGGGGTTACCAAACCGACAACTTAGAGCCTTTCCTACCTCCCCCAGTGAGTCTATCTTTCCATGAGGTGCTTTGGGTCTTGATAACAGCATTTGCCATTTGTGTGGGATGCCAGAGACCAGGCTAAGCTCTCAGTAACCACTGATTCACTTAATCCACCCCTGACTGTGTCCATTTTACAGATGAGAAACTAAAGCTTGGAGAGATTAGTGACTCACCCAAGATCCCCCAGCTCATGGGTGGCTGGAGTTAGAACTAAAACCAGCTCAGTTCTGATTCCAAAACAATGTGTCCTTCTCATTCCTCCTGCCACATCCCTATAACTCAGTCCCTGTTGAGTGAAGTCTAAGTCCTAACCCAACTTTGTCTTCAGATGAATGACTGTGTTTATCAAATGCAGTTACAGCACCCCAGGGCATGACACAGGGGAAGCTGTCCATTCCTCAAATTTTCATCCACTTACCCATAGGTTAACAATGCTGGCATGGTTTTTATTCCCTCTGGAATGAAGGAGTCAAGAAACCCTAAAGAGTGAAAGCATTATTATTTTTGTCCTAAAGAAATTAAGATACAGTAATATTAATAATAGTAAGAATAACATCAAAAACAATGACAATGATAATAACAGCACCACCACTGTGGTTGCACTGTGCATTATCACATGGAATGCCACAATAGCCCAAGGAGGCATGTACTGTGACTCCCTCAATTCTCCACGTGAGTAAACAGGCCGCCTTGTAAAAGAAGGCTCCACCCTGAGTGGTCCTGTCCCTTTATTGAGCCCTGAACTTGAAGCTTCATGTGTTGTCACCAGGTAGCTGGGAGATTAGGAACTTCCATTTTGGAATCAGACAGACAGGATCGAATCCCAGCTCTGCTACTTACTAGCAAGGTTAACTTGGCAAGTCCCTTAACACTGCCGAGCCTTAGTATTCTCATCTGTTAAGTGGGGATGAGAATCCTGCCTTTCCAAATCTGTTAGGAAGATTAAGTTTCAAGTGCATGAAGTGTGTTTAGGAAGGTGCCTGCTGAGTGACTCTACCACATGGGCTGTCAGCACTGGAGTTAGCACTGAACTGGTCAGGTCCAGGGGGACTCAGAGCAGCTACGGCCACAGTGCCACAGTCACGGGAGTGTGACTGAGGAAACCCTCACCTTCTGCCCTTGTCTCCAGGTGCCGCATCTCTTGGTGTCATGAATGGAATGCCCAGCACTGCAGGTACATCATTTTCTCCTGCCTTCCCCACCACCCTCCCTCCCACCTCTTTCCTTCCTCTCTACGATTCAGCGCACATTTGTTTAGCCTGTGCTGGGAACCATGGACACTGAAATGAATCGGTCCCAGGGCAGGCTTTTGAGGTGCCCACTGTGTAGCACGGGGACCAGTTATTCAACAAAAAATATTTACTGAACACCTGCTGTGTGCCAGGCATATCTAAGTATTGAGGATATAATGGTGAACAAGGCAGACCAGGTGCCTGCCCTCATGCGGCCCATGTTCCAGTGTAGGAAACAGACAATAACAAGTTAACAAGGTAGTTAATAAAGAAAAGAAGGTGATGTGATAGAAAGTTACCTGCATGGGAAGTAACACCTTAAATAAGATAAAAGTTTATTTCTCTTACACATAAATGAAGTCCAGAAGCGAACAATCCAGGGCCGCTGGGATGGCACCACAAAGTCATCAGGAATCCTGGCTCCTTCTGGCTCTCCCCACCACCATCTTCAGGATGTGGTTCTCATCTCATGGTCCACGAGGGCAACTGGAGCTCCAATCTTCATATCTAAGCAACAGAATGGAGGGGACATGGAAGGAGTCACTGAGTGTTAAGGAACATTCCCTGACGTTGATACCTTATACCTCCACTTACATCTCACTGGCTACTGCTTAGTCACATGGCCACACCTGGCTGCAAAGGAAGCTGGGAAATGTAGTCTTTATTCTGGGTGACTGCATCCCCAACCAATGTTTAATGGTTCTAGTAACAAGGTAAGAGGGAAGTAGGAATATATTCAAATGGCCGGAAATTTTTTCAGAGGAGGTGATACTTTAACCAAATGAGAAAGAGGAGCCAGGTGTGCAGACAGTAGAGGAATAAGCCCTATAGGTAGAATGAACAACAATTGCAAAAATGAGACAGGCACCTAAGCAGATAAGTCACAAGCAAGGAGATGGTGCAGAAGGAATTCACAGAAGAGTAATTAACTATACTGGATAAGGGCAGGAAAGAATTTCAGCAGGTGGTGACTTCTGACTAGGGCTCTGCTGGATGAATTATATAGTTCAACAGGGTGACAAATCCAAGAAACACATTTTGGACCAAGGGGAAAGCAATGCTGTAAGACTTTACTTTTCCTCAGAATGACCTATATTGGTTCTTTTCTATCCTCAAATTTCCAACTCAGAAAAGTTCATCAGAGAGAGGGGTTAGAGCTCAGACTAAAAGCAGCTTGAGAGCAGAGACCTCACGTCTCCTCTACTGCTTCCAGTACTTCAGGTTAGCACAGTGCCTGGAAGGACCTGGCTTCCCTGTAGAGTTTGCCAAAGTGACTTATTTCTAGGGTGGGTGGTGGATCCAGGAGCCTTCTGGAAGAGCCCGGGAATCAATCTGATGTGGTAGAAGACCACCATGAGAGGGCACTTAGGCTTTTCATGGTTTGCTAGCTCCCGCAACCATTTTTGGTGTTTTAGAATTAACTGAACATTAACCAGTGTTTTGTAATTATAAACTGATAGTCATAAATTAATATTTCTGAAAATTATTATATTAATCTCTCCCACCCTTCTAGGACATCGGCAGCTACTTTGAAATTTGTGGGATGTTATGATCTGGTAGTATGGTGGGGGTGAGGGGGTGCACATGCCTCTCCTAGGCTTCCCCATACCAGGTAGCTGTCATCCAGGATCCATGCCCTTGACTGACACTGAGTATACAGTAATTTTCAGAACAGATAGGATTCCAACTCTCCCAGATCTTCGAGTCTAATTTTCAAAACCAGCATTTATTTGATGTTTACCATGTGCCAGGCACTGTTCTAAATGCTTGATATGAATTCACTCACTTAAGCCTTACACAGACCCCATGGTAAGAGCTGCTAGTGATAGTTATATATTTATATTGTAAGTAATAGCTGCTAGCACTATTTCTGTTTTACAGACAGTGAAACAGGCACAGACATGCACAGTGACTTGCCTGGGCTTGTACAGCTAGTTGTAGAGCTGGGATTCTGAGCTAAGTCAGGCCTCAGAGGCAGTGCTTTTTAACCGCTGTATCTTTCTGACTCTTCAGCATTAGAGTAAGTAGTGCTGGCTGTGGTGACAAGCAATCCCCAACTTTCTGGGCCCTTCACAATAGTTCATTTCCCACTGAATCACTGGGGGATGCGGCTCTGTGCCTTGCAGTCCATTAGGGACTCAGGTTCCCGCCTTTTGGTGACTTCTGATAGTAGATGAGAGGATATGGTGGATCACATAGGAAGGAGGCTTTGAGGAGCAGGCCTGAAGATGGCACATATGACTTCTACCCACATTTGATTGGCCAGTTTCAGGTGCATGGTCCCACCTACCCGCAAAGGAGGCTGGGGAAAACTGCCTTCCAGCATGCCCAGAGGAAAATAAAAAAGTGTTTTGTGATTAGATAGCTTTGTCTCTACCACATGACCCCTCTACTGCCTACCAAGGGCTGTAACACGGAACAGATATTAAAGGTACTCTCCCTTGTCATCCTAGTAAGGGAGAAGATAGGGAGGCTGGCTAGGTTTGGCTGCTGAGTTCCAAAGCCCAACATTTGACAGCAGTCTCTCTTGTTCTCAGGGTTCCTGGTGACCTGGCCAATGCTTCTGCTGCCGGTCCTCCTGGCTGGGCTGTTCTGAGAGCTCAGCTGGACATCTGGCTTGCAGCTCGGCTTGTCTCTGGTGATGGCTTCTAGTCACCCTTTGGCTCTGCTGGTTCCCTCTCCAAATCACGAAGATGATCCTGGTGTTCACGACTCCAGGCCAGCCTAGGCTTGGGGAAAGGGAAGAGCTTCCCCTTGTTTAACACTCTCTGTGCCTCTGCATTCATTTTTCTCCTGCTGGGGACCCTGTCGGTATGGCCTGGCCTGACTTCCTCATTCAGTAACTGGATCTTGAAGCAAACTTGCTAGATGCCTCAGTGGCTCCAGCCTTTACTAGACGCGTACCACACTTTGCAAGTGTAACTCCAGATTAGAGAGGCCATGTCATTGCGGGGAAGGGGAGATGGATGAGCTTGTGAAAAAGGCACCTCCCATGGCTCCTTCCCAAGCACTCCCTGTCTGACTGCTGGTAAATTGAACAGACTGACCTTTGCTTTCACCCTCTGCCTCTGATGTGTTTCCATCATGCTCTCAACAATCGCCATGGGAACATGTTGTAAAGGGGCCACTTTCAGAGACCCTGCTCTAGGTCCCCCTCGATCTCCTGTCTGCCACCACATTGCTGACATGTTTTGTCATGTTCTAGAACTACACAAACTCCTTCCTCTGGGGGCTGGGGGCTGGAGGAACTGCTCGATTTGGGTAGGAGAGCCCAGAGCACACCTCAAGCTGTGAATAGTGGTGTGCTTGCCCTGGAGTAAGCAGGAAGTCCCAGCAGACGATGCCACATCTATCCTGCCAAGGGGATGTAGCTCAGAGCCTGGGAGATGGGTGAAGGTCCTTTCTGGAAACCTTACTGAGCCCTCGCAAAGCACTCCACAAAGCTGCCACAAATAGAGAATGCTTCTCCTTCCCACAGCTATATGTGAGGCCTCTCCAAGCTGGCCTTGGGGACAATGACCAGCTCTGGGCCAGGGCCGGGTTAGGGAGTGGGGGCAGGTAGAGCCTGTTTATCTGTCAGGAAGAGAGTTGTTCAGACACAGTGTGGTTGCAAGAAACAGAAACCCACTCCAATTAACTTAGGCAAAGGGGGAATTAATTAAAAGCATATAAGAGCACGAAGTCCAAGGACAGAAGATACAACCTAGCTACATAAGGAAAACCACTAGAAACCAAGGTTTGTCTGTCTTTCCATCTGTCATTCTTCCTGAAACCACACTGCCTTTACATCTGTGTATCTTCATGTGTCTCCATTTTTCCTGTATCTGAAACTAGCTTTTCTGGTTCATTCATCATCCCTCAATTACATATAGTCATTGCAGCTTCACATCACTTCCTAATTCAGGGGCCACAAAACCCATCTAGGGCTTGGTATCCCACATCCAGATTGCACAAGGGGAATCTGATTTCCCTGCGTGGACCAGAGTGCTTCTCCTGGTCCATCTGTCTGAGGCCAGATGAGGGTACTCATCCAGCAGAAAGAGCCCACTGGGCTAACCAAATTGGGGTGTTTCTTGACAGATAACACGAAAGGCCACTATGATAGTGGCTTCTTTAAAAGAGGGTTTCCTGGGAGGAATTGCTTCCTATTTCTCAGTGTGTCAGAGGATCCATAGATACTCCATTCCAAGAGAGGTGGCTAGGAACGGACCTGGATGAGAGGTGGGGAGGCCCAATCCTTTCCCTTCTCTGAGGCTCACGTCCTCCTCTCTGCAGAATAAAGGGGCTGGGCTAGAACAAGATCATATCATTTATACAGGAACTCTTTCTTTAAATACAATTCTACATGACCATCCACTATGTAGAGATTAAAAGCAAACAGACTCTTGTCAATGACAGGTAGCCCTCCCATTCTGATTCTGTCTTCCTCAGGCCCCAGAGAAACTCCATGACAGGCCACAGGGTTACCGAGGACAAAGGTGTGGAACTCCCCAGGACATGGGACCTCTAATATCTTCTCCAGTATAACGTACATGGGATTCTACTTAACCAGAGCTAGTCCTGGCTGGCTACCTATCATCTGTCTGTCTGTCTGTCTGTGTGTCTGTCTATCTATCAATTATCTATCTATCTGTCATCTATCTATCTATCTATCTATCTATCTATCTATCTATCTATCTATCTATCTATCATCATTTCTATCATCTGTCCCCTATTCTCTTTCTCTCATTCTGTCTCTCCCCATCTATCTACCTGTATATCTAGCTAGCTAGTTACAGCTTTTTGTTCTCTACAAATGGACATGCTATACAAGTAACAGTTTCTGAATGTCCAGTCTACTTCATTTGATTAACGCCAATCTGCTGAGCACTGTTATGTCCCAGGACCAAGGGCCTGGGTAAAATAATGAATGAAACATAGTCTTTGCCCTTAGATGTTTACAATCCAGTGGAAGGCAAACATACTGAAGCACTCACAGGCTGATCACACTCAAACACACATCCTCCTGGCATGCAGCCACAGGACCTGTACACCCATACCAATGTATATATTCTAACAGATACACACATTAACCTCATGAGTCCACAGAAAGACTTCCACATGCAGAGATCCACACCTAAGCCCTCTAGCCCCATCACTTACATACTTATTGCCATAAATACCTTAGTAACATTTTTAACATGTCCTATACTCCGGGCATTATTCTAAGTGCACTATGGGTAGTGTACCATTCCCCGCTCTTATTAGATACTGGAGGTAGGTACTACTCTTATCCCCAGTTGAGAAATGAGTAAATCAAAGCTTAAAGAAGGTAATTATTCACCCAAGGTCCTATAGCTTTTAAATATTTAATTCAAGTAAGGCTTGAACTTAGGGAGTCTGAATTTGGGCATATGCTCTTAACAAAACACTTAGTCTGCCTCTGTTTATGGACAAAGTGTGTGTGCATGCACACACACACTCTCTCTTTCTCTCATAGATACATAAACATATACATAAATACCTATAAAACACAGGATGTGGATCCAACTCCCCAAGAGCCAGGACTCTGACCATGTCTCCTCTCCCACTAGCTTTCCTCTCCTCCATCTCCCAGTCCTGCCCAGCTGGGCACTGGGACAAGAAGTCCAAACCAAGGGTCACAGTGAAAATAGGCCCTGGACCCAGCATCTGGAAGTTCTGGAATGGAAGGATGAGGGAGACAGTGAGAAGGAACCTGACCCAAATTCAGGAAAATTGGCGTCTCCATCCTGGGGGAGCACTGAGAAGCAGCTGGTGAAGGATGCAAAGAGCGTAGGGCAGCCCTGGCCTCCAGAAGTTTAGCGTCTGCTTCAGAATCCAGGGCATGCAAACCCCAGGCAGCTGGAGCTAAGCAGTTTAAGGCTGAGACATTCATTCACTTCTGCAAGATGCAGAGAAGGGAGCCCCCCGTTCAGCCTGGGAGAAGAGGGAAGGTTCTCACCCCTGGGATTTAGTCCCTTCATTTTCCAGATGGAAACTGAGGTCCAGAAGAGGAAAGTGGCATGGCCATTCTTAATCCTATAAGGAATCCTTTAAGATGTGTTGTAAGCAGCTAGGCATGAGGAGGCAGGGAGAAGGGTGGTCCCTGAAAGCTGGCCACTTGAACAAAATTTGGAATGGGGACCCCAGAGGAGGAGCTCCACTGACCTCAGTCCTCTCACCATCTCTCCTCCCCTCCTCCTCCTCCAAAGCCCTTCTCCCACAAAAGGCTGGAAATCACCCTTTTATTTTCTTTCCCCATCACAGTTGATTCTCCTCCCAAAATTCTACTAAATCCATCTACTTTTCTTGGACCCCACTGACCCTGACCTTCTGAAAGCTAGTCCTCTCTTCCCTGGATCTCTCTTACAGGTCCCCAACTTTCTCCAGTCTCACCCCTCCCAATCTGATCTCTACACTGCAGTTAGTGAGCACTTACAGCAAACTCACTTCTCTCTTTAAATTCCTCCAGCAGCTCCTTCCCTTCGATGGGACGAGGTCAGCCTGCTAGCTGGCAGGCAAAGTCCTCCACCATTTGAGCCCTTCCTGCCTCTTCAGCCTTAGATCTTATGCCTACTTATCTCCTTCAAATCCCATGGTCTGGCTTCTATGAGTTTCCCATAGTTCCCTGACCAGTTCTATTTCACCCTGCTCTGTTTCTGCATGTGCTGTTCTTGCTGCCTGGAAGGCCCCTGCCCCTCTGGGGATGCTGACCCAGATCAGCAGAAGGGTCATCTCCTGTGAGGCTGGCCTCACCCTCTTCCCTGGTCTAGAGCTGATCTCTCCCCTCTTTGTGACCCCTTCTCTACAGAACTTTATTACCACATGCACCATCTGTGTCTGAAATTATCTAATTTTATATCAGTCCCTCATCTGCCTTCCTAGACTGTTAGCTCCCGGAGGACAGGGGCTTTGCCATATTCAAACATCACGGGCTGAATAAATGAAGACACAGGCTGCATCCTTTCTTCTTTCCTTCTTTCCTCCCTAAATAATCATGCTTTCATGTACCAGGAGGAAAAGGCACCACTTAATAGCACAAACCAAGGAGACTTTCTCATTTGGATGGTCGTGATGAAGGAGCCAAATCAGGTCATAAACGGAAATTCTGCGCTCTCTCCCGGGCCTTCACCCCATCCCACCCTGGTTCCCATCTTCTGCGGCTTCTGGGGAAGGCTGATTGGAAGTCTGAGTGCTTTTTTATCTTTTTTTTCACGGAGGAGGGCCGTCATGGAGCTGTAGAGTGGTTACTGGGAGGGACCAAACTGAGAGAGCTGAAGAGTGATCACTACTTAACAATGGAGGGAAAAATGAGAAAAACAAAAACAAACAAATCTGTAAGGACCTTGGAAGACTGTCGACTTAAAAACAGCCAGTTATTTTACCAGTGAAAGGGGTTTAATTGGGAACAACAGAGGAATTGCAGTTTGGGGCATGGAAGCTCTGGCACACCATAGGTGAGTCTGGGGATCAAAGGTGAGGAACATTACAGAGAAAAGGAGGAAGATGGGAGGCGCTGCTTCCCCCCATTGGAGGAAAGTGAGAGTCCAGGTGGTGACAGTTTCTCATTGGCTGAGCTGTGGTATTTTCTTATTGGCTGAACTTGTTGTTGGGCAAGGAGAAACCTTTCCTTCCTCTTGCTGGGGTGGTAAGTAGGCTACTTTCAGCTGGGGTCTCAACTGCCCAGAGTGGAAGGGTGGGAGAGCTTCCCCTTTGAGCTCCCCCGACTCCATTTTAAATGCGTTTTCTTTTATTCAGTTTCACAAGACTAAGTCCAGAATTTAAAGCACACTGTAGCTGCAGGGAAGGAAAAGTAATTTTCCCTACACCCTTCTAGGTTCTTGGTTGAGACCACTCCCTTCTCTATTTTTCAGATTAACAGGAAAAGGACAAACAGAAGTTTAATGACTTGGATATCTCCTGTACACATGGGAGAGACCCAGGAAAACCGAGTACGTCTCCCAAACGGCACAGGCCACCCCCTTAAATACCATCCCCAGCTAAGGACAAAAGATGTTGGAGGGTGAGAAGTCAGTTATGGGAGGTGACCAGAAAAAGGAGGGT